GGAGTGTAGATTGGTGATTGTGTTGTGTGTGGTGTTTGAAGTGAATGCATTGTTGATTGTGTGTTTGTGTTTTGTTTGTGTGTGATTTTATTCTCAGTGCATTTGTTTGTGCATATGTGTTCGATTCATTGTTGTTCGTGGACAATGTTGTATCGATTCAATATGCTATATGTAATGCTGGGATATAGCTCCCGAGCGTGACATGCGTATCGGGTTTAAGTTCCAACTGTAGGTGTTGTTTGTTGTTGAATGATTGATGTTCGGAATGCTGGAGTGTAGATTGGTGATTGTGTTGTGTGTGGTGTTTGAAGTGAATGCATTGTTGATTGTGTGTTTGTGTTTTGTTTGTGTATGATTTTATTCTCAGTGCATTGGTTTGTGCATATGTGTTCGATTCATTGTTGTTCGTGGACAATGTTGTATCGATTCAATATGCTATATGTAATGCTGGGATATAGCTCCCGAGCGTGACATGCGTATCGGGTTTAAGTTCCAGCTATAGGTGTTGTTTGTTGTTGAATGATTGATGTTCGGAATGCTGGAGTGTAGATTGGTGATTGTGTTGTGTGTGGTGTTTGAAGTGAATGCATTGTTGATTGTGTGTTTGTGTTTTGTTTGTGTGTGATTTTATTCTCAGTGCATTGGTTTGTGCATATGTGTTCGATTCATTGTTGTTCGTGGACAATGTTGTATCGATTCAATATGCTATATGTAATGCTGGGATATAGCTCCCGAGCGTGACATGCGTATGGGGTTTAAGTTCCAACTGTAGGTGTTGTTTGTTGTTGAATGATTGATGTTCGGAATGCTGGAGTGTAGATTGGTGATTGTGTTGTGTGTGGTGTTTGAAGTGAATGCATTGTTGATTGTGTGTTTGTGTTTTGTTTGTGTGTGATTTTATTCTCAGTGCATTTGTTTGTGCATATGTGTTCGATTCATTGTTGTTCGTGGACAATGTTGTATCGATTCAATATGCTATATGTAATGCTGGGATATAGCTCCCGAGCGTGACATGCGTATGGGGTTTAAGTTCCAGCTGTAGGTGTTGTTTGTTGTTGAATGATTGATGTTCGGAATGCTGGAGTGTAGATTGGTGATTGTGTTGTGTGTGGTGTTTGAAGTGAATGCATTGTTGATTGTGTGTTTGTGTTTTGTTTGTGTGTGATTTTATTCTCAGTGCATTTGTTTGTGCATATGTGTTCGATTCATTGTTGTTCGTGGACAATGTTGTATCGATTCAATATGCTATATGTAATGCTGGGATATAGCTCCCGAGCGTGACATGCGTATGGGGTTTAAGTTCCAGCTATAGGTGTTGTTTGTTGTTGAATGATTGATGTTCGGAATGCTGGAGTGTAGATTGGTGATTGTGTTGTGTGTGGTGTTTGAAGTGAATGCATTGTTGATTGTGTGTTTGTGTTTTGTTTGTGTGTGATTTTATTCTCAGTGCATTTGTTTGTGCATATGTGTTCGATTCATTGTTGTTCGTGGACAATGTTGTATCGATTCAATATGCTATATGTAATGCTGGGATATAGCTCCCGAGCGTGACATGCGTATCGGGTTTAAGTTCCAACTGTAGGTGTTGTTTGTTGTTGAATGATTGATGTTCGGAATGCTGGAGTGTAGATTGGTGATTGTGTTGTGTGTGGTGTTTGAAGTGAATGCATTGTTGATTGTGTGTTTGTGTTTTGTTTGTGTGTGATTTTATTCTCAGTGCATTTGTTTGTGCATATGTGTTCGATTCATTGTTGTTCGTGGACAATGTTGTATCGATTCAATATGCTATATGTAATGCTGGGATATAGCTCCCGAGCGTGACATGCGTATGGGGTTTAAGTTCCAGCTGTAGGTGTTGTTTGTTGTTGAATGATTGATGTTCGGAATGCTGGAGTGTAGATTGGTGATTGTGTTGTGTGTGGTGTTTGAAGTGAATGCATTGTTGATTGTGTGTTTGTGTTTTGTTTGTGTATGATTTTATTCTCAGTGCATTTGTTTGTGCATATGTGTTCGATTCATTGTTGTTCGTGGACAATGTTGTATCGATTCAATATGCTATATGTAATGCTGGGATATAGCTCCCGAGCGTGACATGCGTATCGGGTTTAAGTTCCAACTGTAGGTGTTGTTTGTTGTTGAATGATTGATGTTCGGAATGCTGGAGTGTAGATTGGTGATTGTGTTGTGTGTGGTGTTTGAAGTGAATGCATTGTTGATTGTGTGTTTGTGTTTTGTTTGTGTGTGATTTTATTCTCAGTGCATTTGTTTGTGCATATGTGTTCGATTCATTGTTGTTCGTGGACAATGTTGTATCGATTCAATATGCTATATGTAATGCTGGGATATAGCTCCCGAGCGTGACATGCGTATCGGGTTTAAGTTCCAGCTGTAGGTGTTGTTTGTTGTTGAATGATTGATGTTCGGAATGCTGGAGTGTAGATTGGTGATTGTGTTGTGTGTGGTGTTTGAAGTGAATGCATTGTTGATTGTGTGTTTGTGTTTTGTTTGTGTGTGATTTTATTCTCAGTGCATTGGTTTGTGCATATGTGTTCGATTCATTGTTGTTCGTGGACAATGTTGTATCGATTCAATATGCTATATGTAATGCTGGGATATAGCTCCCGAGCGTGACATGCGTATGGGGTTTAAGTTCCAACTGTAGGTGTTGTTTGTTGTTGAATGATTGATGTTCGGAATGCTGGAGTGTAGATTGGTGATTGTGTTGTGTGTGGTGTTTGAAGTGAATGCATTGTTGATTGTGTGTTTGTGTTTTGTTTGTGTATGATTTTATTCTCAGTGCATTGGTTTGTGCATATGTGTTCGATTCATTGTTGTTCGTGGACAATGTTGTATCGATTCAATATGCTATATGTAATGCTGGGATATAGCTCCCGAGCGTGACATGCGTATGGGGTTTAAGTTCCAAGCTATAGGTGTTGTTTGTTGTTGAATGATTGATGTTCGGAATGCTGGAGTGTAGATTGGTGATTGTGTTGTGTGTGGTGTTTGAAGTGAATGCATTGTTGATTGTGTGTTTGTGTTTTGTTTGTGTGTGATTTTATTCTCAGTGCATTGGTTTGTGCATATGTGTTCGATTCATTGTTGTTCGTGGACAATGTTGTATCGATTCAATATGCTATATGTAATGCTGGGATATAGCTCCCGAGCGTGACATGCGTATGGGGTTTAAGTTCCAGCTGTAGGTGTTGTTTGTTGTTGAATGATTGATGTTCGGAATGCTGGAGTGTAGATTGGTGATTGTGTTGTGTGTGGTGTTTGAAGTGAATGCATTGTTGATTGTGTGTTTGTGTTTTGTTTGTGTGTGATTTTATTCTCAGTGCATTTGTTTGTGCATATGTGTTCGATTCATTGTTGTTCGTGGACAATGTTGTATCGATTCAATATGCTATATGTAATGCTGGGATATAGCTCCCGAGCGTGACATGCGTATGGGGTTTAAGTTCCAACTGTAGGTGTTGTTTGTTGTTGAATGATTGATGTTCGGAATGCTGGAGTGTAGATTGGTGATTGTGTTGTGTGTGGTGTTTGAAGTGAATGCATTGTTGATTGTGTGTTTGTGTTTTGTTTGTGTGTGATTTTATTCTCAGTGCATTTGTTTGTGCATATGTGTTCGATTCATTGTTGTTCGTGGACAATGTTGTATCGATTCAATATGCTATATGTAATGCTGGGATATAGCTCCCGAGCGTGACATGCGTATCGGGTTTAAGTTCCAGCTATAGGTGTTGTTTGTTGTTGAATGATTGATGTTCGGAATGCTGGAGTGTAGATTGGTGATTGTGTTGTGTGTGGTGTTTGAAGTGAATGCATTGTTGATTGTGTGTTTGTGTTTTGTTTGTGTGTGATTTTATTCTCAGTGCATTGGTTTGTGCATATGTGTTCGATTCATTGTTGTTCGTGGACAATGTTGTATCGATTCAATATGCTATATGTAATGCTGGGATATAGCTCCCGAGCGTGACATGCGTATGGGGTTTAAGTTCCAGCTATAGGTGTTGTTTGTTGTTGAATGATTGATGTTCGGAATGCTGGAGTGTAGATTGGTGATTGTGTTGTGTGTGGTGTTTGAAGTGAATGCATTGTTGATTGTGTGTTTGTGTTTTGTTTGTGTGTGATTTTATTCTCAGTGCATTTGTTTGTGCATATGTGTTCGATTCATTGTTGTTCGTGGACAATGTTGTATCGATTCAATATGCTATATGTAATGCTGGGATATAGCTCCCGAGCGTGACATGCGTATCGGGTTTAAGTTTCAGCTCTAGATTTTGTTTAGTTTATGAAAAGTGAATTGTTTAATTATTGGCCGCCGAATGCTATTGTATGGCCGGGAGTGTGGTGGTCCCGCCCTCGAAATACTTTTACACGGCGACTCATATACAGCCTCAGCCAAAGTAGTCCTACTTACTTTCTTCTCTTGGTGTTGTGTTGCCTTCGCAATTGAGAGGACGAAAGGCGAAAGTCCGGCGCTTAAACCGGATCCCAAACCAATGGTGCACATGGGCTCCAGTATCCGAAGTGTGCAAATGGCGTATTAACCAATTTCTTGGTCACCGGATTCCATGGGACTGCACCTCACTTTGCTCCACTGCCTTGTGGATCAGATCTTCAGGTCGAAGGCTAGGGGTGTGGCTCCCTAGGAAAACGCCAGCTTCGGTTTGGACACTTGGGCAGTATGACAGCCCACACAAAAAATTTTGTGTGGCGCATATATATTTCGTGCCCTCTTTTACCAATATTTATGTGTGCAAATAAATAAATAGGTAAATAGGCCACATTTGCTCTGTTTATCACCATCTTTATTAAAGCTCATTTAGTTGTTTTGTATTCTTGTGTTTTTTTATAAGTACAAGAATATATAGAAATCTTTAAGTCTAATTTTCCTTTTAACTTCAATCTTTCGTCAATGTCGCTCATGTGCATTATTTTTGGATTCCATTTTTAATGATATCCAATTCTAAAAATTTCTTTATTATCTGTAGATATGTCGTGGAGTTTTCGATTGTCATAATGCATTATCAGTTTCAAGTTTACAAGCGTTAGGATGTCTTGCTAGTCGTTTAAATGCTACTGTTGTTTTAAATAATTTACGTCGGATCGAAGAAAGCCTATATAAAGCTGGCAGTTTATCTAATAATTATAATCAGAATACGAACACTGAGGGAAATAATAGATTTGTTACTTATGTATGGCCTCGTAATAATCTATTTTATGAAGCTGCACCAAAAATTAATCGGACTAATCGGGAAATTCCTTTATGTGAGAAGAAACAAACCCATGTGTTAAATGAATCCAGTCGACCGCTAGCTCAATTGGCCGTTTTTTCTCCAAATTATGATCCATCTATGAATTCCTGTTTATTAAGCTATACGGATGAGTAAGTTAACTTCTTAGATATGCATAATCTTATTTTTCAGCTAGATTATTGTACGACAGTAATTTGACTTCATCTATTTATTTGAACACAAATGTTAATACAAATGAACACCAAAATTAATATACCCCAAACAAACTAGCGAGTAGAATTTTCAATTTACAGATACAGAAGAGTGAATGTAGTTGAAAAATAATCAGATTAGTGAAAATAAATGGACGAGAGTTGTGTGTAATGATAGAAGTAGTTCAGTTAAGAAAAGTACAACTAGTAAAAATCTTTTTAGTTTAAGAAGTTCGTTTCTCTTTTAAAAGTAAGTAAAAGAAATTACAATAGAATTGTCAATGGTTTCTGTTCTAAGCCATGTTTGATAACGTCTCAAGCTACCGAGTTGGACTATCTTTCGGACCTCAATTAGGGAGCTGTGATAGATCGAGAGTTGGCAACTCTATACAACCTTCTTTCATATCTCGGCGCCTCGTTATAGACTGAGTACATCTTCAATTTTCTCAGTCAGTCCCATCGTGAACTAATAAAGCGACATCAAGTAAGTTATCATTGGCATCCCTGAACACACATTGCTGAACCTTCTCATTACTAATATCGTTTTGCCACTGAATATCAGCAATCCTTCAGAGACAGCTATAATCGAACATAGAGGGTCGTATAACATCCTTAGTTCAATAAGTTCAAGTTTCTCAAGTATAGAACTAAGGTGCTCTCAGCGATGGGTTGTGAACCCAGCTTTTCACAGGCTGACTAACATCACGACACTAAAGAAGACCGAGATGGACATAAGCCACTCTAGCATATTTATTACTACTTGAACGTATTACATTCTCAGTCAGCCAGTCATCTACAACGTAGGACAATGCACATATATGCGTCGGTCGAAGTTGTTACACCTTATTAGCACAACAAGGTGAACACCAAATCCATAGAATTAGTTACTTCACTGGTAGTAATATATGAAAAAAAGATCTCATATAAGATTATGATACAGGGAGAAAGAATTAGTTCGTAGAAAGAAAAGTATAAAGTAGTTTTAATCTCACCGTTTAAGGGCAGGCTAATTTTTGTAAATGCCTGTAAATAAATTTGAGTAAGTCTTATTGTAAGTGAAACCATTCAATTCGTGAAACTAGGATAATGCTCTAAATTGAACATCCTGACAACATATGGCTAAGGGACACTCTAAAGAAGTTATCTGTACTTACCAGGTATACACTAACCATTTGGCTTGTCCGGTCTGATCAGGAGCATGATATATCTAGTTCTTGTTGATATTATTTCAAAATGGTCGGGAATAATTTCAAGGATTCATAAAATAATTTTATATTTCAGTAACTTGTAGTTCTCACTGGTTTAAATTCATTTCTTTGGTGGCTGCACAATGGATGGGAACTATTACTTCCACTGTATCTTATTTCTATTGCCTTTGTCTTGAAGTTCCGTATGACGGATGAGAGCGCAATGCTATAATACTTGCAGTAAATTGATGTTAATGTGACCTATGCACTGCTTGCTTGGTTGAAATAATAATTAAAATCTTTAAATCCTCCTCTCACTTACACACACACACACCATTTTTAGACATAATAAATTCGATGTTGATTTAGTAGGAGCATCTTCTAACTTTTGCAAATTTTGCCGCTAGATTTTCTTTAAATTGGTCTTTATAAACGCATACGTAAATCGTTATCAATTTGATTTGATATGATTAACTGCAAACACTAAAAATACGTAGTTTACTTTCGGATCGTTAAAGAATCAAGATATTTAATGCTGTTTATCTTTTCAACTTTCTTTCTAGCCTTTCCACTGATTCTCGTCTATCGAATAGTGAGTTTATTTGGTTTCTATTAATCAATTATGTCAGCTAAGTTGATAGGATATTTCTAATATTTTAATATTTTCACAGTTGAAATCACGAGTCGATCTTAGCTATTGAAAATCTGGAAGCACTGGGTGACCGTCTTGTTCTAGTACGGGGCTCCTCAATAATACGCACCTACGACCACACGTTGGATTCGAACTCGGGACCTTCGGTCTCGCGCTCGAACCTATAATGTCTAGACCACTGAGTCACCACCCAAAGGTGTCAATACCCAACTGTAATCAATCCATTAGCTTACGCAACCCTCCATCCATCGCCTATGGTAGATAACGGTCACACTCAATACGAATTAGACTCCACTGGTCACGACTTTTCATGTTTTTAGATTTACAACGTTTAATCATACAGCATTTTAATTGTAAGTCTCAAAAGAATTAATGTCTTCTAGCTTTATTTAGTTTTTCAGATTTCGTAGTCATAGATGTCTGCGTAGATTTTCGCTGTATTCTATGATTACTTGATGAAAATAACTAGAATAATCCACAATTATTTTCTATAATGACATGTTAGTGCCCTTAATCTGTGATTAGTTTGTTTTCCTGTTGACTAGTTTTCTTTTCCTGTCCACCAAAATCATTGTCTTTCTTTTTTAACCAACTGGTAGTATCAAAACAGTTAGTCTTTTTTTGTTGGATATAACCTATAGTTTTATCATAAACTTATTTCACCAAATTGAATCCTTTTTCCCCAACTTTAGTTTTTCGTTTATCTTTGACTCCCATGACTTGTTTAGTGATATTTGTATGAATATGCATCAATATTTGAATAAATAGTTTAACGGAAATTGGACATTCAATATTTGAAAGAGATTTTATGTAAAGATTGTTTGAAATAATATCGGCGAATTTAATTTAATTTATTCCAACGTTTTGTTTAATAACCTTATCTGGACTCGCCGTGTTTGAGGAGATTACGAGTTCACCTAAATCTGCGAACAGAACGAAGACTCGGCAACACAATGACCGAATATATATATATATATATATATATATATATATATATATAATTACATAAAAATGTCCTTGGGAATCGTTACAAAATAACATATTAAAAGAGACAACGAACCAATGACATTTAAGGTCCTCTCAATAGGAAATACGACATGAAGGTGAAAATGGGCGATTTTGGCGCGAAGACGAAAAGTTTAAATTTCCAAAATAAAATCACAAAAATAAAGCGTTTACTAAGTGAGTTCTGAGGATCTAGCATCTCCAACAGGACTTCGAGGTGATAATGAAAATCAAAAGAAAAATTCAATATATATAAAGTAAATCTAGTCTGAGGACTTGTTTAATCATGTCAGTCAGTCATTCAGTAACAACGTGGAACTTTGTACGTACGTACATCTGTTCGAGTTGCCATACCACATTAGCACAGAGATTCATTTATCGATTCAAATCCCATAGTGGTAGATGTTTATTATTATTATTTTATTTTATTTTAACACATAAGTATAGGTACAGGGAGGCACCAAAATACATATGCGCCACACAAATCTCAATTGATTTGTGTGAGGGCTGTGATACTGCCCGGGTGCCCAAACCGAAGCAGGTGGTTGTCTTAGGGGGCCACACCCCGAGCCTTCGACCTGTAGATCTGATCCACAAGGTAGTGGAGCATCGTAAGGAGATGCGGTCCTATGGTAGCCGGTGACCAACGATTGGTTCATACGCCATTTGTTCCTTCAGGATACTGGAGCCCATGTGCACCATTGGTTTTGAGTCCGGTTAAAGCGCCAGACATTCGCTTTTCGTCCTCTCATTTTTGTAAACAACACCCCCACCACGAGAAGGCAGTGAGTAGGACTTCCCTGGCAGAGGCTATATACGCATGGCCATGTGAGAGCATTTCGAGAGGGAGAGCGGACTCTCCCCACTCTCGGCCGTACCAGGGCATTTGGGGGCAGTGGTAGATGTAGTAAAAGTATAAGTAGTGATAGTGAACATTAGGGTTTGATGATGTTATTCAAGAAGTATAATCCAGTGGAATAGATTTGGGAAGAAGATTAGGGTTTGAGAGACGGATATCTCGCCTACGCCACAAATGACGCAAGTTGGCAAAAGCTAGTCGAGCCTTCTGTACCGTACTGAGATTTCGTCACACACCAGACCACAAGGGCTGATGGGACTTTCCAGATAAGTGAAGCGGTCGACACGCTCAACTACTTCACTCCCTATCACTAGTTCGAGTGTTGTTAGTGGGACATAGATTGGATTTAAGCATGCTCAATGCACGATTGCTTTGGCGCACGCTGATTGGCTGATTCTTATCCAATCAGCGCTAGTCTATACATGGAGAAGCTTCTAGATTCTTCTTATGTAAAAAGCTATAAATACACTAACGGTTTTCCTATTTTGCTTCTTGCTTCTTGCTTCTTGCTTCACCTAACCTTGTTATTTGGAATATAATCTCCTTCCTGCTCAATCGTGTTCTGATTTGGGGCCTTGTCGTGTGAATCTGTGACCGTGAATACTAAGCGATAGGAATAGCTGGGTTATAACCGTAAGAGCGAAAATATAACAGTGGCGACGGGGAAAAAGGAAAATAAATTCAATATGTCCATATCAGACGACCAGCTTAACCGAATACTACAACAACAGCAACAACAATTAGATGCACAAATGCGGTTGTTAGAGACTCTGACTCAACAGCTTAGCTTCCACTGCTCGAGTTCACATGCCATTTCAAGTACGTCTTGTGATGCAGTTGCTAGCAGCATACCAGAATTCATCTATGATCCCGAAAGCGGAAATACTTTTCTCACGTGGTTCAAACGTTGGGAAGATACATTTAGAATAGAATTCTGTAACCAAGACGACGCGTGGAAGACTCGATTGTTGGTACGTAAGTTGGGAATTAATGAACAGTTGCACGCAGGACATCCTGGAATAAGTGTGCAGCAAACGTGGACATAAAGAAGGTCATTGTCCACCGAATCGTACGTCTCATCCCAAAAAGAAGCATAAACGTTCTCGACATGTGAAATCAGCCGAGTTTAAATCTCTTTCTCTGGTAGCTGCCTTTCAAACAAACTATGACATTCGGAGAAAGTATGTTACCATCCAGATAAACGGCATATCAGCTCGTCTTCAAATTGACACGGCATCAGATATCACCTTAGTATCTAGAGAAACGTATAACTTGTTGGGTAAACCGCCAATGAAGCCATCTAAGAAAACGGCCAAAAACGCATCAGGTGGTGTGCTAAAACTGGTTGGTGAATTACAGTGTGAATTTTCCTTCAATGGAACTAACTGTACAGGAATATGTTACCTAACAGAACGGCCAAACCTTGATCTTCTTGGTCTAGATATGTTAGATAAACTTGGAATAATGGATGTACCGATTAACAGTGTCTGCAACGTATTGTGTTCATCATTAGACACCCCAGTACTTGCAAAGAAGACATGTGAAAGGTTACTAGAAAAACTGAAAAGAAAGTTTGCCTCTGTTTTTCAGAATAGCCTTGGCCACTGTACCAAGATGAAAGCTCATTTACCACTGAAACCAGATGCCAAACCTATTTTTCGTCCTAGACGTCCTGTACCATATGCTGCTCTTGAGTTAGTCGATCAGGAACTTAATCGCTTGCAACAGGCTGGTGTAATTCAACCAGTCAACTACTCTGCATGGGCCGCACCGATCGTAGTGATTAAGAAGGCGAATGGAACTATACGCATATGTGCCGATTTCTCGACCGGTTTAAATGCTGCATTAGATGTGTATCAATATCCATTACCAGTTCCTGAAGACCTGTTTGCCAAACTTAATGGTGGGACATGTTTCGCGAAAATAGACTTTTCCGATGCCTATCTACAAGTAGAAGTAGATGAAGACAGTAGAGAGCTTTTGACCATTAACACTCATCGAGGGTTATTTCAATACACCCGTCTACCATTTGGCATCAAGACTGCACCTGCCATCTTTCAGCAAATAATGGATACGATGCTAACAGGTATACCTGGTACAGCAGCTTATCTAGATGATATCATAGTTATGGGTTCAACTGACAATGAACTTTCTGATCGACTACATCAAGTCCTTAACCGAGTGTTGGAATATGGTTTCCAACTACGTGAGGAAAAGTGTACTTTCTTTATGCATTCCATCAAATACCTTGGTTTCATCTTAGATAAGAACGGTCGCCGACCAGACCCTGCCAACATCGAAGCCATTCAGAAGATGCCTGCACCAACTGATGTCTCTTCATTAAGATCCTTCTTGGGGTTAATCAGTCACTATAGCACATTCTTGCCTGAAATGCATCGAGTGAGAGGTCCGCTGAATGAATTACTATCAAAAGATAAACCTTGGCAGTGGTCAGCAGAATGTCAAGCATCTTTCGACAGAGTCAAATCAATGCTCAGCTCAAAGATTCTTTTGACACACTTCGATCCCAGCTTGGAAATTGTTGTTGCATCTGATGCATCTAGTCATGGAGTTGGAGCAGTAATATCTCACGTGTTTCCGGACAAATCAGAAAAGACAATTGCCCATGCTGCTAGATCACTTACCCCAGCCGAGCGGAACTACAGTCAAATTGAAAAGGAAGCTCTTGCGATCATTTTCGCTGTCAAAAGATTTCATAAAATGCTCTATGGTCGTACATTTACTCTACTGACAGATCACAAACCTTTGATTGCAATCTTTGGTTCTAAGAAAGGAATCCCTGTCTATACAGCTAATAGACTACAGCGCTGGGCAACAATGCTCCTGAGTTATGATTTCAATATCAAGTATCAGTCGACAAATACTATCGGTCAAGCCGATGCTCTCTCTCGATTAATTGGAGTTCAGCATCCTGGACCAGAGGATATAATCATTGCCTCCATAGCAGTAGACCCAGAAATACGAAGTATAGTGGCAGATGCCATTCGAAACACTCCAGTGTCGTCAGATGAAGTCAGAGAAGAAACTCTTCGAGACCCGATTCTACAAGAAGTTAGAAAGTTCCACCTGGAAGGATGGCCCACGAAGATCAGTTCCACAGAGCTTCAACAGTTTTACCAGCGTAGACTCTCTCTCTCAATCATCGACGACTGCCTGCTGTTTGCAGAACGTGTCATAATCCCAAAGAAGCTACAACCAGCAGTGCTTGAACAGTTGCACGCAGGACATCCTGGAATAAATCGCATGAAAGCATTAGCACGAAGTTATGTATACTGGCCGCATTTAGACACTCAACTGGAGCAGCTATCCCGTTCATGTACCAAATGTGCATTAGCAACGAAAGCACCGCGGAAAGCAGAGCTGCAATCATGGCCAATACCACAGTCACCGTGGCAGCGTATACACTTGGACTTTGCTGGTCCACTTCATGGACAAACTTACCTTTTGGTAGTTGATGCATATAGCAAGTGGCCAGAAATCTTTCTCATGGAACACCCGACTGCAAGCTGCACAGTCAGTAAGCTACGTCAACTATTCAGTCGTTTCGGAGTCCCGGAATTGATAGTTAGTGACAACGGAACACAGTTTACGTCCGTAATTTTCTCACAATTTTGTCGGCAGAACGGAATCCATCACGTCCGAACACCTCCATTCCATCCCCAATCAAATGGTCAAGTGGAACGCTTTGTGAGTACATTTAAAAATGCTCTAAAAAAATCTAAAGGGGAGGGGACCACCGAAGAGATCTTAGAGAGGTTCCTGCTTATTTATCGCTCGACACCGAACCCTCAGACGATTAAGGGGGTCTCTCCAGCAGAAGCTCTACTTGGCAGAAAAATACGAACACATTTCGATGTCATCCGTCCTACGCCAGCTCTTGAGCCTCAACGAAACCTATCGATGGAGAATCAGTTCAATCGACATCATGGGGCACAAAAACGATTGTTCACGGTGGGACAAAAAGTACTTGCTATGGACTACCGTGAGAAACATCCTACATGGACAGCTGGTCGGATCTTGAAAAAGAAGGGGAGTGTGGTTTATGAGGTGTCAGTTGGCTCAGAAGTTTGGGTACGTCATGCTAACCAATTGAAAGCAACTTCGATAGCCAGCAACGAGATTCAATATCGATTACCTCTTGATGTTCTGCTAGACACCTTTGAAATCAAAACGCCTGGAACAGACAGGTCAGTTTCTGTGCAAGCAAAGAGTGATACTTCTTTATTGCCTAGACGATGGACAAATCGAAAGCACAGGCCAGTCACTCGGTTGCAGTTGGACCCTAGCACCAGATCCTACGAATCTGCTCAAAGGGGAGGTGTTAGTGGGACATAGATTGGATTTAAGCATGCTCAATGCACGATTGCTTTGGCGCACGCTGATTGGCTGATTCTTATCCAATCAGCGCTAGTCTATACATGGAGAAGCTTCTAGATTCTTCTTATGTAAAAAGCTATAAATACACTAACGGTTTTCCTATTTTGCTTCTTGCTTCTTGCTTCTTGCTTCACCTAACCTTGTTATTTGGAATATAATCTCCTTCCTGCTCAATCGTGTTCTGATTTGGGGCCTTGTCGTGTGAATCTGTGACCGTGAATACTAAGCGATAGGAATAGCTGGGTTATAACCGTAAGAGCGAAAATATAACAGGTGTCGACGCAACCCAATCCTGAAGCAACATTTTGCATTTCGAGGGGGAGAATCGCATGCCGAACAGGCTTGCATTGTTGCTTAGAGTGGTCAGCAGACTCTGCATTCTGTCAGCGTCTTCACCAAATAGAACTATGTCATCGGCATACTCTAAGTCAACAAGTGAATCTTTCGGTAGAAGTTCAAACCCTGGAGAGTCAGATGTGGAAAGTGTTATTTCTAAAAGTACGTCAACGACAAAGTTAAACAAGAATGGGAGAGTGGACAGCCTTGACGAACACCACTTGAGGTAATCAATTCTGATGACAGTTCGCCATAAGCTCTCACTCGACCAGCTGTGTTCGAGTAGAGAGCCTGTATGTACTCCTTTGGTACTCCTTTCAGCGACAAACACTGCCATAGAACCTCACGATCAACAGAGTCAAATGCCGCCTTATGGTCGGGAATTATTGCCATTGTGGGGCGTCTGAATGTGTTTCTATGTTCTAGGACCTGATGAGGTCAAAAACAAGCCTGATTTTCTCTAGTCTGCTCTTCACGAGCTTTGGTTAGGCGTCGAAGTAATATTGAAGCTAATATTTTAGACACTATAATAGTCAAACTAATTCCTCTGTGATTGTCACAAGAAGACTTGTCCAGATGTTGATTGTATAAAGTATGAAAATATGAGTAAGTAATAATAGTAATAGTAGCCTAATTTTGTTTGATGATAATTTCAGTTAATAGTTAAACAATGTAGGGTTCTGTTTACATATTTTTCTCTTTTTTTAAAATAATATTTTGACGGTGAATCGTATGCATTTTTACTTTGTTCTACAGATGATGTACTTAAACTGTCGAGTACTATAACGGGAGCCAGTACTATTACTTATACTCTGACTACTACTACTACTAATACTGCCATTAATAATGATATTGATAATGATAATAATTTTCGTCAATCAAATGAAGTCGAAAAATTCCAGTGCAATACTGAAAATACTTTTGATGAAGATACTAAATTTTCTAGTTTAGTTGATAAACCCGTGGTACATTATTCATCATCGTCGTCAAGGGAATTGGTTGTGAATGGAAAATCATTAGTATATTCTGAAAACAATTCTAATTGTTTGAATAACCCTGTAGAAGTAAGTGTCCTTATTTTTATTGGATTGTTAAGTGCAAGCTTCCATGACAGGATGAATATTCGGACAGTTGGGATTTTCGGAGCTATACTGATTTGAGCCGATGTATATTCGTGCCAGGTTGTGCACTAATGATGACTAACTGACTGTTATATCTTTTGGTGACCGTGGTTTAGAGGAGAGATGGCAGTGAGGGCAGAGAATTATCGATAGGACCAAAGACGCGTAAACACGTAAGAACAGTCTAGAATTCTGATTAACCCTGCTTCCCTGTCTAGCCCAGCCAGTTGAGTCCAGAACGCAAGTCTCAGCCTCTGTGATATGAATCATTATATTTCAAACATACTCTGTTTATATACCAAACAAACAGACTACATCGTACCATAAAATAGAAAGTAACATTTGTACAAGATTTGACCTCCAGGAAATGACACAAATAAATATTGACCAACGGGAAAATGACACGTTGAATGAATATTGACCAATGGGTAAATGATACCATTTCTCATTCAGGAATAGCATTAGATAATTTCTGGGGTATTTTCTGAAAACCCCAACACTGACTAAACTAATAGACATGAAGTTTCAATACTCATTGATATATATTCATTTCATTTATAAAGTCACACTTAAAAAGTGGGAATGTAGCATGCCATATTACCGAATCTATACTGAAAATAGAATAGTCACATGTCTTGTGTTTTCATTCATATCAACTGAGAATGTGATACAACTGACTATTATTATTATTATTATTATTATTATTTTTATGTGCTAGTATAGGTAAGACTCGCTTAGCAAGCTTCTTTGATAAGGCCACTTTGTTGGTACATAAAGATTGTCAAACATTTGTTCGAATATGCTTTATTAGTAGTTAAACATAACAGACTTAATATCAATCGATCTCTAATGTATACAAATAAATATACTAAATGGTTCTTTTGTATTGCTTAGTTCTAATCAAATTCATTAGTAAGAAAAATGTTTATTAACTTTAGACATGATATATGTCAAGTATTTTTAAGGCTTATGTACTATATAACTGTAAAAACTCCATTAGAGTACGTTGTCAATATTTCCATATTTCTGATAACTAATTAAGTTTCCATTTTCTCTATATTATTAAAAATATTCCAATGTATATAATCGAAAATCCTAGCAAATCATATAATTGAACTGTTGTTACTTTGTCGAATTGATCGGCAGAATTCGTCTAATGATGAAGATGGCACTCTATAATATTGCTAACCGAATATTAGCATTTGTCAAACTGCCATCAGAATCGCCAACATCGAGTGATATTCACCACGGTCCTCCTTTTTATCCAAGTTTGTCATATATGTCCTCTTAAAAATTACTTACTTACCTACGCATGTTACTCCTAATGGAGCACATGTCGCTGACCAGCATTCTCCAACCCACTCTGTCCTGAGCCTTCCTTTCTAGCTCTATCCATACAGTAGAACTGTCTTGACATTTGTATTGAACATTCTGACCTTGGTGTTGGTTGACAGTTGTTTTGAGTTCCAGATGTTCTTCAGTTGTAAATATGCAGTTCTTGCTTTGCCGATCCGTGCCTTCACATCTGCATCAGATTTACCGTGTTCATCAATGATGCTGCCCAGATATGTGAAGGTTTTCACATCTTCCAAATCTTCTCCGTCAAGTGTGATTCGATTGGTGCATACTGTGTTGTACCGGAGAATCTTGCTTTTCCCTTTGTGTCTGTTGAGACCTGCAGCTATTGAGGCTGCTGCTACACTGGTCGTCTTCTCCTGTATTTGTTGTTGCGTGTGTTATAGAAGAGCCAGATCATCTGCGAAGTCTTGGTCGTCCAACTGCATCCTAGTTGTCCACTGTATCCCGTGTTTCCCTTCAGATGTTGATGTCTTCATGATCTAGTCGATTAGCAGGAGAAAGAGAAAGGGTGAGAGTAAGCAACCTTGCCTGACACCGGTCTTTACTTCGAACGACTTTGTCAACTGTCCTCCATGCACGATTTTGCAGTTTAATCCATCATAGGAATTCCGTATGATATTGACTATCTTCTGAGGCACGCCGTAGTGTTGAAGAACCTTCCATTGTGTCGTTCTGTTCTGGTATTGAGGGAAGAGTGATGTCCCTGTATTTATCGGAGTTGCTGAGATCATCTTTCTTTGGTATTTTGACTAGAAGTCCTTCTTTCCAGTCTTTTGGTACCTGTTCCTCATCCCAGATCTTTTTGAAGAGAGTTTGGAGTATCCTTGCAGTTGCCGCTACGTCTGCTTTCAGTGCCTCTGCTGGAATGCTGTCTAGTCCTGCTGCTTTGCCACTCTTGATTTGTCTGATAGCCATGCTGATTTCTTCAATTGTCGGTGCGCCAACATCAATTGGGAGGTCCGTGAGTGCTGCTTCGATGTTGGGTGGGTTCAGTGGGGCTGGTCGATTCAAGAGTTCTTTGAAGTGTTCTACCCACCTGTTTCGTTGTTCTTCAATGTTGGTGATTATCTTGCCTTCCTTGCTTTTCACTGGTCGTTCTGGTTTACGGTGATTTCCGGAGAGTTTCTTTGTTGTGTCATACAGTTGTCTCATATTTCCTTCTCTGGCAGCCTTTTCCGCCTTCAATGCCAAATCTTCCACATATTTACGTTTGTCAGTTCTGATGCTCCTTTTCACTTGCTTGTTTACTTCTGTGTATTCAGTTTGTGCCTTAGCTTTCTCTGCTCTTGTTCGGCTGGTATTGATTGCTGCCTTCTTGTTCCTCCTTTCTTGAATGTTATCCAGTGTATCAATAGTGATCCATTCCTTGTGATGGTGCTTATTGTGACCTAGAACCTCATGACATGTTTAAGTGATTGCCTCTTTTATCCCTTTCCAAAAAGAAATTAGAAATTACCATTCATCTAACTAACCAGGGGTTGACCTCATACTAAGCGATTCACTTATTGATTTAGAATATGACGATGACAGTTCTATTCGATGTAGATATCAATATGCAGAGTCTTTTGATCATATTGAGCATGTATGCAAACATGTTCAAGATGCATTTCTCTCTGTAAATGCAAAATGTTTCCAAAGGACTGATCTGCACTACCGCCTAAAGAAAGTAAAGTGGTTGAGTGCGTTAACTTGTGTTTGGGGAGAGATGTTTATCTGTCAATTAAAGGGCTATTATACTGCACAACTGTTTGTCTAACCACCAGCTACTTTGATGTATGGTGTTTGTTGGTCTAGAATTAGGTTGACAAAAAGCTTATCGGGTGGGCGTTCGAACCAAAATACCGTCAGTCCATGAAATTACTGTTGGTCTGAACCTTGTTGGTAAATCCAGACTACTCGATTGTGGTCTGGGTGATAACAGTGGTTACTGGTTCGAAAATCTGGGTGACATGGTTTAAAATCGTTCACAATGAGGCAGACGAATCTACTCTATCTTCCTCTCGACCTTAAGTTCCAGTACTCCTTCATACATACTTTTTCACTCTGTCTTTTGGAATCATTCTCAATGCTCAGTCTTTACGTGATCATCAGTACCACATTATTTCAGTTTCTTTTGCTATTCATCTTATTAGTTTTTATCTCTTTATGTTAGTGTGGTTCATTTCATCTCTCTGTGCTAATGAAGTATGACAACGTACGTACGTATCAGGTCCTACTGTTCGATTGACTGACTAGTTGCATGCGGTATGCCAACTCAGCCCTGCCCCCAAAATGCCCTGGTATGGCCGAGATCGGGGTGGGCCCTCCCTCTCGAAATGCTCTTACACGGCCACGCGTATACATCCTTTGCCAGAGAAGTCCTACTCACTACCTTCTCGTGGTGGGGGTGTTGTTTACAAAAATGAGAGGACGAAAAGCGAATGTCCGGCGCTTTAACCGGATCCCAAACCAATGGTGCACATGGACTCCAGTATCCTGAGGGAACAAATGGCGTATGAACCAATCGTTGGTCACCGGCTACCATGTGAATGCATCTCCTTACGATGCTCCACTGTATTGTGGGTCAGATCTTCAGGTCGAAGTCTCGGGGTGTGGCCCCCTTAGGAAAACCACCTGCTTCGGTTTGGGCACTTGAGCAGTATCACAGCCCTCACACATATCAAATGAGTTTGTGTGGCGCATATGTATTTGGTGCCTCCTTGTACCGATATCTATGTGTTAAAATAAATAAATAAATAGAACAACTCAGCCCTGAATACATTTTTGTCAGACTCTACATTGCTGACTAGATAACTGATTAATTGATTCGTTTACTTTACATGTTCTCATGTGTTATGAAATTGCAGTCTGTTTGTAGCTTAGTGCAGTTTGTTACAATAATGTTTACTAGCATGGGATCAAGTTTCTCAGTCATATAATTTACCATAAAACTGTGAATACACTTTTATTATAAAGATTCTCTAATACATAAATGAAATTCCCGTATTTGTATATTTAGCTTACGATATTTGGTGTACAATATATATTTTTGTTTATGAATTTAAAAATCAAGTAGTATTCTCAATCATTTCTTTTGCTATAGATTTCTAATGACGAACGTGAAATTGATGCTCTCCTTACATTGATGGAACCTAAAATTGTACAGAAACCTATTCCATTTTCTCTCAGGTATTCAGTTATTCCTGATGAAATGGAAATAAATCGATTGAACGGACTATCATTAGAACAGTCTGCTGATGGGGTAATTTCTGGTTTGTCTCTTTTTCTGCATAAAAATATCATTTTTATTTTTACATGATGTTTGTAGCGTTTTGCGTCAGATAAGTCGTTATTTCTTTGTGATATTGACCAATTACTAGTATTTGGGCATGTGCGTCTTATAAGCATTGTTCACGTATGTTGGGACTGTGGTGTGTGCTACTTGTGTAGACATAATTAGTATATGGCGTGAGTCATGAACAGAATGTCTGGCAGCAGAGAGACGAGAAGATTGAACAATAAAGAATGAAGAAAGAATGCAATTTGTATGAAAATACAAGAACGAAAGAATTCTGAGTCATTTGAGACAACTGATGAACATTTTGCAAATTGAGCATTTACGATATGGTTGTTAGATTTTACTAACTAGTTCTGTAATTTGTTGTTAAATACATTCGATTGTCCCCACATGTGTTCTTGTTCACTCCATAGCAATTAAGTTAAACTCAATATACTCTGTAATAATGCTATATCAGTTGATAAGATTTTGAACCTTTAATGACTGGTAGTTAGGGCTTGTTTTAGAACATGCCTGACTACCATCTATCTCGAAGGCCAACATTGGCTGACATAAAAGTAGATTGGAAAACATTAGGGGTAACTAAATCAAGACGTTAAATCAGTTCATGAGCTATGTCAGAGGGTCTAGATTATCTGATTACAGTCTGAACGATGCCTATAAACAGTGGTTGAAGACAAGTGAAATGCCTGAAAATGAGTCCCAACTGTGCAAGTACATCTGCTTTTTAACTGTTCTCAGATCCAGGTTTTTAAAGTTATTTTATACCTCTTATTCCGCGAACTGTTTCTTCTCAAACCATATCCTCTATACCTAATCTTTTTTATTACTTCTGGTACTACTTTTTTATACCGCTGTATTCTTCGTCTTGATTATTTTATCTCGCTATACTCATATGGTGTGTCGAGTTGGAACTGGTAAATGTGTCAAGTTGTATGTTGAATCCACTAGTCGATCTAAGCTAGACCATTATTTATAACCTAGGAGTGCCGGATGGCCGTTGTGTCCCAGTATAGGTCTCCTCATTAGTGCACACCCATGATCCTGCGAAAAAAACCTAATTTTTCAGTTTGAACTAAGAATTCAAAATAATCTTTTTTTGTTTTTATATTAACCCATAAGTGTTTTTTTAAAATAATTTTTTTTTTGAGTTTCATCTATCTGACAAAATATTATTTTAGGATACTGAAACCAATGGATGGGAAGATGCATGGAATACAGATACATGAACAGGTCAAGCATTCTGTGACAATTGTGACGTTGTTTATTTCATTTTCTTTTAATTGTTAATTTCTCTCCTTTCTTTTTACTATTAAAGGTTTGATTTATTTTGTCAGTAGTATGTGTATGTTTGTTATTATTATTATTGTTTTTTCTTTTATATTCTTTCTCATTTGGTTTTATTACTATTTATGTGATATTTTTGTTAAAATAATAACTAGATTTTGAATCATCTGAATATTTACATGTTTTTATTTATTGTAATTTTATCTGTTAAGTAATCATCAGTTGTTTTTTTTGTACAAAAGGTTAATGAAAATTACTATTCTTTTAATTCATGTCGTTTGTCTTTTTTCTTTCACCATTCATACACATTGTTAGTTAAATATAGAAATGACTAGATTGATTTAGTTTATCATTAGTTTTACATTGAACCAGATTTGTTATTTTAATGAATAGATTGGCATTAATGTTCAATTGTATTGAAGTCGTTTTTTTTATTATTCAATATTATGCTGGTAGAAATATAAACGATAATTAATATAAATTAAGATTTTATAGACCGATTCTTCATTTCCATAGAACAATGAAAAGACAGAGTTGGTCCGAAAAATGTGATGTATTTGCGCTAAACATAACATTTTTCAGACCAACTCTGTCTTCTCATGATTCTATCAAAGTTTATAAAGGGGACTAATTGCTTTAGAATTCTTGATTGTCAAGATGATAGAAAACAGTGCTAATCTCTAGATAAACGCAATAATACGAAGTAGCCAATTGGTGGGTGCTCACGAGACTGTGTTCATGTCGTGAACTCCCAAAATGGTTTAAAAATCAGAATAAACTAACATGATCATATACAGAGTATTGACACAGTAACATGATTAGATGTCTTAAATAACTTGAATTGTATAGTTTACCCACTCTCTAGTAAATGAAATCCGAACTGTCAGGTCTAATTCTAGTCCATCTTAGTGCTACGTATATGGACAGATATAAGTAATAATTATCAGGAATTGTGAGTAATCCTTACAGAGGAGGAAAATGAGGAGAAGAGAAAGAAACACAAAAGGAGTTGGACTAGCAACATAAATAGAAGAACGATGACGCTTTTAAGAAACAATTCAAGGAATATGTGCAAACAATGTATGCAGTACATTGTTTCCATATTTTACAAATGCAATGTATGATTTTGCACACTACGGTAATTTGGTTTACCCTACCCAAATCCTCATTCATTAATGTATCGCCTCCATGAAATGATGTGGATTCGTTTTGTTGTAATAAAGGCAAAATGGTGATATTTTCTGGCTTGCTTCATTTTTTCAATTTTATTGAAAACCACGTTTCTTGTTACTTTTATCTGTTGCGACCGCATCATTGACATAAAACGTACGATACTTTACCATCGTTGCCTGATTAACAAGGTAGAATACATTTCAAGACATATAAACTGTTTTTTTATTTTATTTGAACACAAATATTGGTACAGGGGGGAACCAAATATATATGCGCCACATATAAACTGTTAATTAGCATAAAAATAATTAGGTTTGTTTGGATTTAGTTTTAAATTTAAATAGATTTGTTTTAATATTAGCTGATAGATTGGATTAGAGTTTGTTTGTATTGAAGTCGACTTTTGTTAGTATTGTGTCGGAGTTAAAATATCAATTGAGCAGATGATTTTTTCGTCGAATGACATTTACGTAACAATCGGACATTGATCAGTGTTCTCATCATAGTTACGGAAACTTAAAAATCAGCGTTTTTGTGTCATCTTTAATCTGATTGACTTCTGAGATTATTATTTGGGTCTGACATCTTTAGAATATCGTATAAAGTCAAACTCATCCACATAATATATCAAATGACGTTTAATGGGATATGAAGATATCACCCTGACGTTTAGGGTTGATGGACATTTATTTGTCTTATATTGATTTCTGTGTGCAGATTGTTTTTTTAATGTAAGAAGGTGATTGTCAGTAGTTGACAGGAAACCACGGACCTAGGGATTATCTAATCCCTACAAATTATTTAGTTAACCAAAAGATCCGGCTAGAATTTTTTTTGTTATGCCTTTGCAAACGTTCTACACCGTCTTGTAAAGCTAGCAACGACAAATGTTATTAGTATTACTTTTGCTAGTAAAACTTCTCATTTGCTGTAGTTGAATTATCTATTTGTTTTTGATTAAATAGATAACGAATCATAGTATTTTAGGCATAAAAACGCGAGCAATCATATTCAACCACCGAGTATGTTTCAGTTTTTCCCTTACTAACATTAACGTATTTCTGCGGATCACAATATCAGAGCGTAACTTAGACTACTGCTTAGTTGAAAATGAAATTGCGTTTAGTAATAAGTTTTAAAACTTGTTTGTGACTTAGTATATTCAAGGCTCTATAAAGCACATTGTTTGCCACACTTATTCTTATGTTATGATCAAAATATACTTTTAGAAAATATGTCTCAGATTTCTCTACGGATTTGGCATCAAGATAACAGGATTTAAATGACTGAAGTAAATGAAATGTAAACAAATCTGTTTGTCTTGTAAAAGTGTTCATAAAAATCTCATGTTTGACAGTATTCATTTATTTTGAAATAAGTAAACCAAAGTAAAGTTGAAGTGTCTATTTACCATTGAAAACCTTATATCATAAGAGTTAGCAGCTACATTATCAGTCAAATATGCGAAATTTATTCTAATAGAATTTGGATTATTTATTTACAAGTAGGAAGCTTAGGTCACAAATAGACTACATTCATTTCATTATGTCTGTCAAACATAGTTTTAGTCAGATTGGGTATACTTAAGAATTCATATCTATTATTACTTTACAAACTGAGTTGTTAACGTAATCATTTATTTAATTCAATCTGTATAAATTACTTTATTATTAGACATGTCGATTATGAACTAAACTATGATTTCGCATGTACGTGAGTTCAAGTTAATGATTAAAAATCCCTGAAATGGGGAACATTTTAACTGATCAAGTTGATTACAAATTTTGTATGGTTCGTTCTCGATGAAAAATGTAATTAATTCATTTTACGCTGGTAGGCGTATGACAATTATTTACACAAATGTTCTTCGAAGTTTAAAAACATACAAAGCAGTGATGAATTAATAAGAATTGTAATACTGTTTATTAATAACCAATGTATATTAAAACCTACTTACCTACAATACAAATCTGATTGAAACTCATTTAATTATGAATTCAAGATATTTGACACTTTCTTTATTACCATCTTGTGTTTTTAAATACATACAATGTGTATTCTTGAAAAAATGAAGTACTAATCTCAAAGACCATAGATGTTCAAGCTATACGTTTTATATTATGTATATATCAGAAGTGTGATAGTCTGTTAAGAGGTTGAAACAACAACAGTTAAGAATCTACGTAAACGAAGATACTGTACTCTGTTATTCATTTTTCATACACCCATTTCTGAACTCGTTTAGAAGTTGACAAGATTTTTAAAAATTCATTAACTTATCAACCAACGGAAATCAGATAATGTTCTATAGAGTTACTTTGTTTATGTTTATGTTCATTTAGCTACATTTATTCAGGTTTGTTAAACTGAATTTATCACTCACTAGTACTTTAATATTTGAACTACTTGCCTTCGAATCTAAGTAGTTCAAATTCCAAGTTATTGAAAATCGAATGTTCATCTTTTACATAAAGAAATCCAGGTTTATTTATGTCCAGTAAGGATTACTATTGATTATTACTTTTAAAATAGGTTATTACTTACGCCGCTGACCAGCATTCTCCAACCCACTCTGTCCTGAGCCTTCCTTTCTAGCTCTATCCAATTTTTGTTCACTCTTCTCATGCCTGTCTCTATTTCTCGGAGTAATGTGTTGTTTGGTCTTCCTCTCCTCTTTCGGCCTTGAGGATTCCATGTGAGGGCTTGTCTTGTGACACAGTTGGGTGCTTTCCCCAATGTGTCTCATCCACTTCCAGTACTCCTTCCTGATTTCTTCGTCCGCTGGGATCTGGTTTATTCTCTCGCATAATAGGTTGTTGCTAATAGTGTCTGGCCACCGGATCCGAAGTATTTTGCGTAGACAACTGTTAATAAACACTTGTATGTTCTAGATGATGGCTTTAGTGGTTCTCAAGGTTTCCGCTCCATACAGTAGAACTGTCTTGACATTTGTATTGAACATTCTGACCTTGGTGTTGGTTGACAGTTGTTTTGAGTTCCAGATGTTCTTCAGTTGTAAATATGCAGTTCTTGCTTTGCCGATCCGTGCCTTCACATCTGCATCAGATTTACCGTGTTCATCAATGATGCTGCCCAGATATGTGAAGGTTTTCACATCTTCCAAATCCTCTCCGTCAAGTGTGATTCAATTGAAAATTGGTTATTAGTCTAATCATTTGCAAGTACGCATTTAAATACCCATTAGTTTCCGAGTTCGTATGTTTATCACTGAAGGTATTTTTGGATGCCGATTAATAGCACATTTTAATCTGCTGTAGTTTTTGTACGTCGTTTGTTTGCTAAGAATCTGATTACACAACCACCGAATGTTTAAAAAGGTCTTTATTTTTCGCGACAAAATCTACTGTTTTCTCTAGTTTACATATTAATGCGCTCATCACTGAATTAGTTGATATGACAGACAGCTGTTTTATAGTATTTCTGACAACGTTATCAAATAGCATCATTGAACAAATTATTTTCAAGTCTGTATCAAGCACTCTATCACCCACTCAGCCGTTCATTCGGCTTTTTTTTGTATTTCAATAGCGATTTATTTTTGCTTACTAGTTAGATTTAGTAGGTTTTTCAATATCTGTAACAGTTAACTGTGTTACCACTGTCATTCACAATCACTTAACATACTACTGTTAATATTGTCATTTCTGTCCGATTCTCTATTTTCTTAATGATGTATTTCAGCGTTGCTGCTGTTTTGTCTTTTCTAGCCTCCTAAAATTAACAAATCATCAGGCAGTCGTAGTCAACGTAAAAGTTCACAAAAATTAAATAGTACTAATAAAAAGTCAAGCAATCCATTAATTTTAAATAATGACTTACTACAAAGAATCGATGAATTAGATGATGCAACAATTCAATCATTTGGTCGTGATTATTATCTATTTATAATTAAACAATTAGAAATGCAAGTGAATGCGTATGAAAATTATATTAAACAATTATCCATGCAAAATGAAAAAATTATAACAAAGGTAACCTTGTTCTTGTAGAAGTTAGTTTCTGGTCAATTAAAATGTTTACTGAGGTCCTTGAATTTACATTAAGGTCATTTTGATTTATCATTTACTAATGACTTTGAATATAGCCACATACATAGTGCACAAAATGATTGGTGTTGTAAACTGTGGAAGATATGATCTCAGTTTTTAATTGCATCCAATAGATCTTGGTCAGTTTCACATTACTTTATGCGTTCTTGATTATTCAGTCAGTCGAATGTAAACTTTGGACGGGTGATCCAGTGAGATGTGTATCAAATTATAGCAATATTACGCTTGTCGGTGGCATTGACTACTAATCCTTCACGGGCTCGTTATATCACGAAATCTCTTAAACGTTAAATCAAAACCTCGATTTATAATCACAAGTTTCTTAAAATAATTTTAATGTTTATAATTATACACAATCGAAATGTTAGAAAACACAGTACAAAAAATCTATAAAATCCCTAAGGTGCACAGCCATGATAATTACCATTTCAATTTTTAAAAAAATACTCGTGGTTAATTGATTGTTATCTTTTCTAATGATACAAGAGCTGTAACTATACATTTCTTAATTAAAAGAAATCTAATATTTAGAGTTTCGTTCAAGTATCATAGGACGGTTGTACAATAAGTACTATTTAGTAGTATTGTAGTGAACAGGGAAACGAGTGGGGACAAGTGAATGCATTTGAACGTTAAATTACAGAATATCTCACTAAAATCTGACAACCATACAGTAAATATTTAATTTGCAAAATATCGATCAATTGTCTCAAACTTGACTTTTCCTTTTGCAAATATCATTCCATCGTCTCACATTTCATTGTTTCTGCATTTTTATAACAATTGCCTTCCGTTTCAATTCTTTCCTTCTCGATCTTCTAATGTAATACATTCTATACCTGACTATCATTATATACTACCTATGTGAATATAAGTAGCTCATAGCATATTATAAAAGCTAATCAATTAAAAAAATTGCCAGTTTCATATAGTTCTTATTCTTTGATTATCTCTTCTTAACAAAACTGTTAACTTTTATTGATTTGAACAAAGTTTTTCTATCTTGATAGTAATTTGATCCCATTTATAAACAACTATAATTTTTATTTGTATATTTCTTTCTACATTGTATATTAATTAGTAAAATGTTATTTTGCAATGTATCGAAACAAGGATTGCTTATGTTATGAAGACTGACCACTAAACAGCTAGTGGATTAAAGTGAAATTAATCTTATTAACATTGAACGAGATAAGTGTTGAAGAAAATTAAAGTTGAAACTTCTTTTTAATCTATTCATAATGGTGTGTATTTAAGGGAAATAATCTAACCATCTAAATGAATTAATTAGTATACACTTACGAATTTTTACCTTATATCTAACTCTGAAATTAACTCTCTTACCCAATTAGATAATCTTGTAATCTGATTTGAGCTATAAGGTTAGTAATATAAATCGGTTACTTGAATTAATATAGGTGAAAGTAGGTTTAAACTCACTATTGTATAGTATCAAGTTTAATGTCTTAAGTATTAAGTCATCAATTCAAATGTAATCAAGTCGTTAGAGAGGTACACCTTGTCCTACGTTGTAGCTGACTGACTGTAAAAATCATGAATTATTTAAATTAACTGTATCTGAATAATAAGAAATTATAGCTTATTAAAGCTAATTAAGTGGTACAGATGATAGAAGCATAAGTAAGATCAGTAATATTAGTGTCAATTAAAACATGAATAGAATGTAAATAAATAGATATCAATTAGATATGGAATAAATTGTCTCATAGTATATAGATATTAATCAGTAGTAATAATAAAATAATATTAGTTCTTCTATTTGACTATAGAGAGGGTTTAGATAATTAAATCATGGATGGACTTTTTGTAAAACTTCTGATATCTTTTTTTCCTCAACCTATCAAGATTGAGGCTTTTCTCTAAGTACATTTAGTGATCAGTGTGAACTTTAAAATAATATATAAATTAAGAAATTCATTTCCATTGTAGATGTCATAGAACTATGATAGACTTTGTCAAGTAACTAGAAATTCTACGTCATAAGAACTAGGGCATAGTAAATGAGATGTCATTTGATATTTATAACCACTGTTTTCCAAGATGATCCAATTGGATACAACCTTGACGGTGTTTTTCTCTTGCAAGTGAACTGATGCTTAACAATTAACATTAGTTTTGTGCATGATTGTTCGAAGACTATGTATATATAAAGCAACTCAGATTCATATGATTTTGACACTGCTACTGTATTGTCTGTAATCGCTTAAATAAAATGTGATAAATCCTTTGTTTAAGAACTTTGAGTTCGGGTTAAATATATGCCTATCTAATATTTTATCGTTTTTTAACAGTGATTCTATTGAGTTCAATTTGTTTAGCCATTTAATTATTCTCTTCTAATCCTTATTATATTACTATTTTATAGTATCATACTAGTGATTTTGAATGTCAAAATCAATTTAGAACATTGAATAAAAGATATCACGAGAGAATCAATGAAGCGGCTGATTTAACTGAACGTATTCAAGCTATGCAACGTGTTTTTAGAACAAATCTTGATAAATGGAGAGCTAGAGAAAATGAATTAGAGAATTTAAAGAAATCTACTGAAGAAAGAATGATGGCAGAAAATTTAGCAATTGGTTAGAAAAATACTTTATTTTATTTTATTGATTATTGTAATTGAAAAATTCAAATAATGAAAAATAATAGTGGCTTTGATGTTAAGGTATCAAAATAGTTGAAAAAAAACGAATTAATTTTTAATAACTTATCAGTCAGTCACCTACAACGTAGGACTAGGCACGTATATGCATCGACCCAAGTTGCCACACCGCATTAGCACAGCAAGATGAACACCGGGTTCATAGAATTAGTTACTTCACTGGTAGTAATATATGAAAAAAAGATCGCATATAAGATTATGATACAGGGAGAAAGAATTAGTTCGTAGAAAGAAAAGTATAAAGTATTTTTAATCTCACCGTTTAAGGGCAGACAAAGAGTACATACACCCACGCCATTGTGATCGATTCTGAGCCATGTCACCAAGAGTCTCCAAACACTGGTTATTATAGTCACGCGGAATACAACCAGGTAGTCAGCATCTACCAACATGGCTCAGACCAGAAGTTAGTGACTTCAAGCACTGATGTCACGTTTTGGTTTGGCTGCCCCTAACTTTCTTCCAACCATATCCAACACTAATCAGCATTACACGTCGTGGTAATCGGTGTTCAGGAATACGTAACACGTGACCCAACCATCTCAGTCGATGAAGATTCACGACCTCACCAACTGATTTACCGTCATTCCCTAATACTCTGCGTCTAACCTCACCGTTGCTTACCCGGTGATCCCAGCAGATGCGAGCAATATTTGTAAGACACGTGTGGTCAAATACTAGTAACTTACGAGTATCTTTTACTCTTAAAGGCCATGTTTCACAGCCGTATAGTAGAACGGAACGAACTGCCGAGCAGTATACTCGTCCCGTAATCAATAGACGGACATCTCGCCTTCGCCATAGGTGACGTAAGTTGGCGAAAGCCAAACGAGTTTAGTGGCTCGCGATCTTACTCCAATTTGATCGTAATGATTGGTTGCTATCGTCTATCCTCGTATATAATCATTGACTTAAATTGCGTTAGTTAATAACGGAATTAAATAAGTCAACTAACGAGAATGGAGTTTTGAATGCATATATTTCGTATAATTGTTGATTAGACAAACGAACGGAGGAAGGATGCGAAGATTAGAAAGCGAAGCTAAGTTGGCGCGCGGTGGAGATGGCTGGTAAGCCAACTCCCCCTTTAACAAAGAGTTAATCAATATTTATAAGCACACAAAAATAAATTACAGACATGTGATGAGTAACGGGATAAGAAGTGTGCATACGCCTACGCGCTCATACAAAGACAGTCAAGACATTGATAAGCGAATAATTAACAAGGTCAGAATGTGACTCAAATAGAATGAATAGAATGGGCTGTCCGGAAGTTAGAATAATAAGTTATTTGGGCTTAACATAATGACAGACACTACACGAGCTTTTTGAATCCGTGCTGAGATTTCGTCAGATTTATAAGAGGAGATAACAAATATCAATCTTTCCCTGTTGTCAAACACGGTTGAAATAATGAATAAGTTTGATCTTAACTTAGAGTTTGTAGTTTCATAGTTAAGTTGTCTTCTTAGACAAGTACCCAAGTTTTGTTGTAGCACTGACTATATGAATTTTAACCTTTACTTATTTGTTCAAAAACAATTTGTGTTTACATTGTTTTTGCCTCGGTTACATTGATTTATTGCACTGAGTACTGTGATTAAATTTCCTTTTTTTCATTGTGATCTTTGAATGCCAATTGTTCTGGCTGATTATTATTTTCTCAGAATATAGATGTCTTATAAAGTAAATATATGGCCAAATTATTCATAATGTACTGCGCCAATATTTCACATAGTTCTGATAAACTTTGATTTATTGGACTTATTTAAATTGTTATTGCGAGAGAAAAATATCAGTTTAATAGGAACAGTAATATAGTGGAAGGTTTGCATTTGAAGTACACACAGTAGGTAGACAAAAGTCATTTGAATGCAGATATATTCATTTCATGTGTTCTAAACAAAATGAAATAATTGTTTTCTAGGCATTATCAATATTAGTACTTATTTACAAATATGTTATTGATTTTTATAAAGAGTTTTGAAACTTAATAGTTGGTTTATACCAGCTTAAGTCTCCCAACCAGTATTAACATCAGTTCAGGGTGAGAATCAACCTAAAATTTATTGAATTCTTATGATGTTTTAACTGAATAAGGTTCTATAGTTTGTTGATCATTCGTTTGAGAATGTACGTATCGAGTGTCTTGAATCAATAGAGTCAGAAGTAAGCATTTACTCCCTAACGAAATGGAATTGTGGTTGATACATATTGCTAGTGTGAGGACGGTCCACGGGTGAACTCGAGGAAGCTTCAAGAAGCTCAGAAAGAGCCGAAAATATTCCATCCAATCATCTTTTGAAAGAATATTCTAGAATTTCTACATGTGGCTTGCCGATTGGAAAATGCTAATAACTTGCTGTGTACGGATTTGATAGTTATAATGATGATTTCGTTTTCTCTAAAAACTATAAATACCTGACAGTTTTGTACTATAATTTGACACTGGAATAACATTCCTTTCACTAGACTTCTGTCTTCTTATCGCGAATTGGAAGGGTTCTAGCGTTCAAGTGCTCAAGTTATACGTGGTATATCAAGAATATAAAATCTAGATATAATAACTGGCGACGGAGATGAGACCTCCGCAATTCCCACGACGCGAAAGTAAGAACACAAAGACTGATATAAGTGAATATTTATTAACCCCGAAACGCGACGACGACGAACAGATATAACAAGTAGCATTCAACGACAAGTTATAACAGCTAGATATTTAAAAGTATGAACTATTAAGAATCGAACCATTAGTCGAATAGTATTGCGGTTCGGATGAGATGCAATAATGGAATATTACTTTCGTTATGTTCGCACGTTTCTAAAGTGATTCAAACTAGAAAGAAACAGTTCTCGGTTGCTAACACAGTAGTAGTACACACTCTTGACAAGTTCCTATAGGAATTTATTTTATTATAGATTGTATTCGTTAAAGATTAATATATATATATATATATATATATATATATATATATATATATATATGTTGTATGCTACTTATGCCCGTCAACGTAAGTAGCATGTAACACCAATCGGAAGTGGAACACCTGGCAACAGAAGACTATGAAGATTTGCTTAATAACAGCAGGAACAGAATTGGAAAAGAATTGTGTATCGAAAGAATCATACATAATGTGAAAGACAAATTTTGGGACTTTACAAATGAAGTATATAATGAACGGTTCTTAAATTTTATCAAGATACTGTGTAATTTTGTTTTAAAATACATTCATTGTCTCACCTAAATGTTCATTCATTACATATATTGTATACACGTATAGTATAAAGATAAGACAAAGCATAGTTGGCTTAAAGTTTTTCTTCTTCCTAAATCAAATCATACCATAATAACTTGAATTTTATAAAACTCTTTTATTATTCTTTGTTATTTCTTCTTGTTTTATAAAATAGCTAATGAATTAGCTTCACTTGAAGAATTCCGATCAAATCGTGAAGCCCTTTGGATACATTATCATAATTTAGAATCTACTCTGGATCAGATAAAAAATGAACATAAGTTAGCTATGGAAAATTTATCAGAAAGGGACCGAGCTTATAGGGGACGATTGAAAAAAGTCACTAAATTAAAAATTAATGAGGTAAATTCTTTTCTTTTTTCTAACTGTTAAGACAGTAAGTTTATTTAATCATGGTTAAATTTGTCTATTCGAAGAATCTTCAAACATACTTTCTGCTGAAAGAACCAGTCTTGTTAGGAATGATCAGTAAATACATAATTTTATAATACTCACAGAGTATTCGAGAATCCAATAAGTTGTTTCTGATCAAATAACTATTTATCTAACAAATAAACGCTGTATTACAATATTGTTTGTTTCAATCAAGTTAGGGTCTAAATTAAATATTTTAGTAACTTTATTCGTAATAAGCTACAATTTCTTTGTTGAAAATCTAATAGATTTTATTTACTCTTATCAGATTTCATAGATTATACTGAATACATTAAAGACTGACTCACAAGTAGCAGACCAATTTATGTTATGGTTGCGGGTGCACCGATTAAATTTTCACCCTCCTCTAACTACCTGAACACTGTTACACGTATTACAGACTAATAAATATATTTTTTCGGTATCATGACTATCTTCAGTTAACTGAATATAACTGAGCTGTTGAGTATTCTGATGTAAAGATTTCTTTCTGGTCAGTTTATTGACTTATTGAATGTTTTATATTAAACAGCCCGAATAAAGCAAGTGAATATGACCATCTCTCTTGATTGTTCTACATTTGGAGTGAGCTTTACTGGACACTGTCTCATTTCACCAATCAATTCAATGTATCTGATCACAAATTTGTTTTAATTCTTTTGTTATCTAACTATTTAATGTAAACTGAATAAAACCAATGTAACTTAATGGAAAAGGTTCATACTACTAATGAGTACAAAACATTTTGTTATCAAAAATATTGTTGTAATGATTCTGGCCTTTCGCATATTTTATCGTTTTCAATTGGGAATAAAATCACATTCAATCAATTTACTTAAATCTTTTTTTAGAAATAAAAGTTTATGAAGGGTGGTCCATTTATGAAAAATAGTTTAAAACTGTTTTTTGCTTCTTATAACTTGTTCTCAAACATTTTCGCAAATACATCACGAAATAATTTTGTAGGTTCATAAATTAATGAATAGGTTTGTGATCCCTTTATTGATTGGATTTTGATCTTTGGCAATCATGATGCAACATTTTTGGTGACGTTGATCAATATAATACTAGTGTTGGTAGGCTAGGGACGACTTTACTTTGACGATATTCACTGATATGAATGGTTTGCCACTTAGTGAGATTGATCATTAATCGAATTAAAACCAATGTTTAAACATTAAAAAGTGCTGATGTACCATTAATGTACATCTGAATATTTTAATTACAATTAACTACGTCGTACATTGCAATATATATTTATATTAAAACAAATGTAGATAGTTAAGATTAACTTTGTCATTCATATATTTAAGTTGTGTGAACTTAGTTACTTTTAAGCGTAAATATTCATTTTGCTGGTCAATGAGATTGTAACAACTTATTATTTTCAAATTTGAACCCATGATTCGATCTAAGCTAGACCACTATTGACAACCTGAAAGCACCGGACGACAGTTTCGTCTCAGTATGGGACTCCACAGTAGTGCGCATCCACGGGTCCGCACGCTGGACTTGAACCCAGGACCTTTGGTCCCGTGCGAGAATGCTTAAACTTTAGACATACAACAGTGTTAATGTCTAACTTCAATCGATCCATGATCTTGTGCATTATTGTTTACTTAATTTGATATTTATTAGGTTGCTTCGGAGTTTCGTTCCATTTCATTTCAACGAACAGAACCAACTATAAAACGTATGCTTGCTGAAAATGTTTCCATTGAAGATCAGTTAGTGAAACTTTCCGTGGCTATAGCTGATATAAGTAGAGAAAATGTTGATTTGTTGGCAGAATTTTATCACTTAACTGATGAACAATCAAAGTTAGAAAAAGAACAAATTTTATTAAGTACTCGTAGTTCAGCCATATTAAAGGTGAGTTACCTAAAGTCTTTTGAAGATTTGAATTTCGTTTAACAAATTTCTAATAGTCACTTATCTATTTTACTAGAATGGGTTTTGTGGAGAATTGGTAATTTCAATAGTTGAAATCATGAATCAATTGAAGCTAGACCACCATGGTAAACCTGGAAGCACTGGACGGCCGTTTCGTCCTAGCATGGGACTCCCCAGCAGTGCGCATCCACGATCCCGCCCCCCGCGGGATTCGAACCCAGGACCTATCAGTCTCGCGCCAGGCGCTTAACCAACTAGACCACTGAGCCGGCATCCAACGGTGTTAATGTCTAACTTCAACCAATCCACTTATCTATATGATAGAAAATTAAGTTGTTAGTAAAATGTTGTGGAAATCGTTGAATTTAACTGGAATTATGAACCGATCTAAATTAGACTACCACTGAAAACCTGGAAGCACTGGATGTTCTTTTAGTCTTATTATTGAGCTCCTCAGCAGTGCGGAAATCGAGCCTAGGACCGTTGAATGTCAACCCAGTTTTCTGAGAGTTAAGCATTCACGTGTGAGGCCTAAGTTTCTGGACTGGAATTGTGCAAATGGAGTCGTCAGTGTACACTTTTGGGGAGTCTTGTACTAGTACGAAATAGCCATACAGTGCTTTCAGGTTTTCATTGTTGATCTAATATTGATTAATTCCTGATTTCAATGAAAAAAGGACCATGATGTATTTTTATGCGTTATAAGATAAACCTACCGACGAGCAGTTACCAAAACGCTTGAATTTTTAAATCTAATATGTAGGCAGAAGAGAAAGTAAATATGGGATACTTCATGTGTGTACCGACTATTTAAGTCAAAGTTATTTATAATAAGGGGCCCTATTCACAATAACACTACGTGAGGTGGGTCACACGCACATAAAATGCTGAGACTGTTTTAGTCATAATAGTGATGTTTACTATTTATTAACGAGACCTAAAATTGCGTACATGATCATTAAAGTTAGTAATCTTACCTTAACAGTAAGAAAAGTGCCTTAATTTGCATATTTTTGCTAATAATTTGTAATCAGTGATTATTTTACCTGTTTTAATGTGCACTACACTACATAAATAAGCGTTTATTAGTTGTCATCCGAATTCTAACTTATCCAAGTTTATTAATAACAACTCCTGTTCATAAATATAAGTTAATTCCTTCGTTCCCTTTCATAATCACTGAAAAGTTGAACATTTTGAATGTTTAAAACTGCCATTCTATATTTTTAATCTCATACAATATTGTGATGTGTTCGTTAAGATTCTGGATTTGTTGTAACACTTGTTTAATCTTTAGCAAATAGATATTTCTGTACTCAAACATCTTTGTGTGATATTTCGAATTGCCTATGATTCAAACTTTTTGCTTTTAGAGATTTACATTAAAGACAATTAAATCAGTAACATGTTTAATGTCTATGATACAATATGATCCAAACAATAGGAATCCATTCAAAAACCTGTGTTATATATTTAATGAAACTTTTGCATCGGTTGCTATGTTAAGCGCACATAGCTTATTCTAGCTTCCGGACAGGCCAGTTTATTCATCCTTCATGAGTCACATTTTGACCTTGTTGACTATTCGCTTGCCAACGTTGACTGTTTTTATGCAACGTATGTGTGTGCATTTCTAATCTTACCCATCACATGTCTGTAACGTATTTTTGGTCTGACTATAAGTATCGAGTCACACCTGATTAAGACGGGTTTACTCACTTGCCTTCTGCATGTGCGTCACTTTGTTTGCTTCTCTATCCGATCAACGATTGTACGAAATATACGCATTCAAAAATCCATTCTCGTATTTGACTTATTCCGTTATTCACTAACGCGATTTAAGTCGATGATTATATACGAGGATTGGCAGAATGAATCATTCAATAACAATCATTCATACGATCTAAATGGAGTCAGATTTAGGACCACTAAAGTGGTGAGCTCCTTCGACAACATCATCGTTCGATCTAACCAGTATCAAAATAACGGGCCAGAAAAAACATAATCTAAAATCACGTTTCTCATAATAGAATTTCAAATTATCTCACTTCTGAAATAGCATTTACACCATGGTGATTTTCGTATCTTTCTTAATGTTAAAATTTCGTTCATCCCATTTAAAAAAATTTTGCATTCTGTTCTGTTCAATAAAATGAATAATTTTAAAAAGTAAACTATTGGTTGTTATTTTTTTGAAAAGTAATATAAAACATAACGACTTCTTCAATAGTCACCTTTTCTCCAAACTGTGAACATCAATAATTTACCTAGCACTAGCTAAACGGTCTACTATTTTTAATTAATGAATGTAAGTTGATCAGTTTTATAATATTTTTTCCTGAAGGGTTTATTGACGCGACTGAATCCTCAGTCTGTTTTCAATATGAGATACAAGGCATTCTCATATGCCAATCTTCTAGAATAAGTTATGCATCTCTATTAATGAAATGTATGAGAAGATAGTCAGTGACAAAGTCATATTCCAGCCCTTGTTGAATTTTGAGGATGAATGTATATGATGATCTGTAGTAATTTCTTTTCGCTACTACAGATCAAATCACTTTGAATACTGTTTTTCTGAATGAAGTTGATTTAAACAGGACGTGAAAAACCAACAATCGAAATTTATTTCTCTCTTAAATTGTGGCCCTGAACTTGAATCTAAGCTTCATACCAAATCTCTATCGCCTTCATTCACCGTGTTAAATAAAAACATCGACAGATAAATGTTTGTACTCAACAAATATGTTTTCTAATTTACAAAATTAACCCTCAGTGATCCAATCGTCAGATTCCACGTCTCATCGATATGTACTATAGAGGTAAAAATGGTCAAGTACGTTCCAACTAAATGCTCACCTTCATGAAAAAAACAATACCATAAGTGACCTACTTTTGATTTAAGCTGCTTCGAATTATTAACCAATACCATTACTAACAAGTAGAAGCATAAAACAAGTTTGAATCTGATCATTTAATCTTGAAAAACAACCGAATATTCAGTAATTAACTCTTGTGTTTTTTGAAAGAATTTGTTATCTGGTAAATTATAGTGACTTAAAACCGGAAGAAACTAAGATTCGCTAGACTTAAGAAAGAAGACAAAAAACTGATGGTAGATGAGGTTTTATTCATCCTTCAGTAACACAACAGCAAGTAAAAAGTGCTCGATTATTGATAGATTTCACTAGCTTTTAATAATTAGGCAGTAGTAACATATATAAACTCCGCCTGTAGCTCTTCTAAAGTTACCGCCGGTCCAAAGCCCGAGTAAAGGACGAGAGTTGGGCGTCGGGTCGACAAACCCATCTCTTAGAAAAAACTTGCTAAAAATCGCCAACCAGTACCATATATTAACTAAAATAATAGGAATATAATTCGACTTTGTGCTGTAATCGTACAAGCGAATGTTATACGGAACAAATTTCCTACTCTATCAATAAAAACGAAAATTGAATGGCATGTTGGATAAAATTCAAACTAAACCAATAAAAATGAACATTATACTCAACTGGTATTACACCAAAACCACACTGTATTAAGAATAAACGATATACTGAGTCTTAGGTGGTTAAACATAGTCAATAGGAGAATTCGGACCTATATTTCATACTACTTAGTGCTCGTCAGCAAGATGTACTTGTAATCTTGTGGTAACTGATGCTCCTTGAACTCAATAGCTTAAGCCTGAAAGATTTACGGTTTTGTTGTTCACTAAGTACTGGTATTTGACACTATTCACTGATCAATCAGTTGTAGTTATAACACTGAATTAAAACATGATCTTGCATATTATCTCAACCTAGCAGCTTGGTTGTATCTGATTATACGTATTGTAGTAAAACCTTAAACTTATTGTTAATGAATTGGAGATAATGTTTATTTATAACTTGTTGAAATATATTGAATAATTGATAAAGGAAGATTTAACCGTTTCTCAGTTATTAGCTACATGGCTACATGAAGAAAACCGTTCTGTTAACTTTCTTGTTGATTGTGTGTTAAAATTTAGATTGGTTTAAAACTAGTTATAAATGGTCACACAATCATTTCAAATTGGTTGATCACTGGGTAGTGATCAATGTCATGTATATTAGGTCCTTCTTAGTACAGATAGAATTCTATCGACAATGTTGCAATGTGTCCACTAGTCTAGGTGACTCGACATTGGGTGCACAATGTTGAGATGAAATGGTGGTTGGGAGTAGTTTACAGGAAACCCTAGACCTAGGTTTCGTGATATTCAACATTCGACAGCAAGGTTCACTTATAATCTTGAGGGCACTTGGTCGATAGAATTTGATCCGCACTAGGAAGGACCTGATACATATGAACAAGTGATCAACCAATCTAAAAAAATATCAGTCTTACAGGAGGTCACTCGCGTCCCGGTTAGCTCAGTAGTAACGTCTCTCATTGTGAAGCTGAGTGACACGAGGTCGAATCCGTCAGGGAGCATCAGTTCCTTCAAGATTACAGGTATACCTTAGTGACGAGTACCAAAGGGTCTCCTGTCGACTACCTCCAAGGTCAATCATTTTATTGATGTGTTTTCTTCAGTGATCAAACATTCAAGTTTGTTTTTCTCAATAATCGTGTTAATAATTCACTAATTGAGGAAACGTTTTACCTATATATGTATCTAGTACTGATTTTCAGATTTGTATTTGTCAATATTTGATCATTTGATAGATAAATTGTACAAATGCGTACATTATAACTATTTTATATCTACCTCCTTTTATTTTTACCTTTCTAATTGTTACTTTTTCTAAACAAAGGTATCTCATTTATTATCAATACTTCAAATAAAACTTGATGAGAAAATTAAAGAAGCTAATGAAAAGAATGAAATTTATTTGAATTTAAACAATAAATGTAATGAATTAGAACATGAGAAACAATTGTTAAATACAAAAGTTGAAGTGAGCAAATTATCAAGCATAATAGAATAATTAGTTAGTTTCGCTTGTTACTTTGGTGTTGGTTGACAGTTGTTTTGAGTTCCAGATGTTCTTCAGTTGTAAATATGCAGTTCTTGCTTTGCCGATCCGTGCCTTCACATCTGCATCAGATTCACCGTGTTCATCAATGATGCTGCCCAGATATGTGAAGGTTTTCACATCTTCCAAATCTTCTCCGTCAAGTGTGATTCGATTGGTGCATACTGTGTTGTACCGGAGAATCTTGCTTTTCCCTTTGTGTCTGTTGAGACCTGCAGCTATTGAGGCTGCTGCTACACTGGTCGTCTTCTCCTGTATTTGTTGTTGCGTGTGTTATAGAAGAGCCAGATCATCTGCGAAGTCTTGGTCGTCCAACTGCATCCTAGTTGTCCACTGTATCCCGTGTTTCCCTTCAGATGTTGATGTCTTCATGATCTAGTCGATTAGCAGGAGAAAGAGAAAGGGTGAGAGTAAGCAACCTTGCCTGACACCGGTCTTTACTTCGAACGACTTTGTCAACTGTCCTCCATGCACGATTTTGCAGTTTAATCCATCATAGGAATTCCGTATGATATTGACTATCTTCTGAGGCACGCCGTAGTGTTGAAGAACCTTTCATAGTGTTGTTCTGTCCACGCTATCAAATGCTTTTTCGTAGTCAATGAAGTTGATGTAGAGTGATAAATTGCATTCAATTGATTGTTCCACAATGTTCCGTGGAGTTGCGATTTGGTCCGTACACGATCTATCGTTACGGAATTCAGCCTGTTGATCTCGAAGTTGGGCGTCTACGGAGTCCTTCATTCTGTTTAACAATACACTGTTGGAGACTTTTCCTAGTATTGAGAGAAGGGTGATGGCCCGGGTTGAGTTATAATAGGATAATAATATATACTTTTAGTTAGAAAGATAGATATTACTAGCCTTAACTTAATCGTCTCATTATTAACTATAAGTTAAATAAAACAAAAAATTAGTATTATAAGCAGTTATTTTATTAAACATGATTAATGCAATGAATCACGTTAATTTTGATTCCCAATTAATACTATCTGATGAAATCTTTAGTGAACAATGTGTCAATGATATACAACCGTTCTGAATGCTGTTATCAGGATATGATTGATTAGTTTGGAATTATATTAAATGTAAATGAATACTCGTTTTTCTTCTGAAAGTATTGTCAATTATTGGTTAATTTATAGTAAGATGAAGCGAAGAGATTGTTTTCCAACGGAATTAAATTTGAAAGATATTTGTGTTTTAGTGTAAGACTTAGAAGCCAGTAATATAGAAACCTTCATAGAGAAAAAGATTGGTGACAGATATTACATTTTCCATGTTTACATAAAGAGGAAATCAGCAGTAATAAATTTCAGGAGAAAGAATTAGAAAAAAAGGGATACAAAAGAATCCAACATTCGGGTTAATATTTTAAAAAAGACGAAGGCACCTACATCACTGCAGTATATTTTAAATTATTTTTTTGATGGAGTTTCCTGATTGGAAATTAGGAAAATTATGCACAATCATAGGAACAAAAATCAAACCAATGGGAGACAAGCAAAACAAAGAAGTAAACAATGACAAATCGAAGGTCAACAAGAGCCAATCAACACCAAGGTGTACAAGACAAGCTGTGAAACACACATATAGAGAAATTCGAACGCTTCACTTCTATCTGAAGTTTGTGCTGATGATGTCGTTCAGAAGAACGATGAAAGCTCCACAAACAAACCATTCAGCTCAGATAATAAAACTCCATCAAAATCATCCACCTGAGCTACAAATCTTTTCCACCATCTCATTTTAAATTATATCACTTATGATCTCATTTGATTAATTTAAAATTTTCTAATGATTTGAACTAGTAAATCTTCAGTAACCTACAGTCATTGAATAAGCTGAAGGCATAGTTTCAAAATTAATGGATTGTATCATTCCATATAAAGTTTTTTGTAATCATCAGAACTCTTTCTATAAATGGCTTGGTTTCTTCAGTCGATATAAGTTTTCATATATATATATATATATATATATATATATATATATATATATATATATATATATATATATATATATATATATATATATATATATATATAACGTTGAAGGTAGATACAGAACTACTGATTCACTATTGTTAAAACAGATGATTATTGTTTTGCTTAGATCAATACTTTAAATTCATATTATCCACTTATTTTTCCCATCTTCAATAAGTATATCTATCAGACGAAAATTAAGTCTGAACTGACTGTTAAACATACTGCATACTCTTTATCAGGCAGGCGTTTGGCGATTTTCCCACAGAAATTATAGTATTACAAATATCAAATGAGAACTTTTTAGCGTATTTTCGTCCTGTACTTAGACTAAATATCAGTATACACTAGTTTTAAAGGATTATGTAATATTAGAAAAGTACAAAATGCATGCGTAGTATTTTCTGAAGTTGTACAATAAGACAATGTTGTTAGTGTAATTTAAATAGTCAGAGGATTTCATAGGTAATGAAAATCTGTAACCCTCTTCTAACTGGTTAATTTTGCTAATATTTATCAAAACATAAATGACTCTTATAAGCAAAGATGGATAGTGGCTAGCAGTGGAATCCAGGACGCGCGTTTCGTCCTATTTGGGACTCGTCAGCTGGATGTACCTGCATCTCAGAGTTGATGATCACTCTGAGACTCGAACCCAGTACCTTCCATCTTTGCTTATAATGCTTGTAAATTAAGGCAATATCGAGGCAATACACACAGTATGCACATATGCCAATAAGAGACTGATCAATTGCAGTCCTAAACATCAATGGGAAGATTCAAGTAAAACAATATCAAGTGAATTAAACTTCACCCCATTGCACAAGCAAGTGGCTATCAGGACTCAGTAGCTAAGTGGATAACGCGATGGCGTTTGAAGCGGACGGTACTGGGTTTGAGTCCCAGAGTGATCATCAACTCTGAGATGCAGGTACATCCAGCTGACGAGTCCCAAATAGGACGAAACGCGCGTCCTGGATTCCACTGCTAGCCACTATCCATCTTTGCTTATAAGAGTCATTTATGTTTTGATAAATATTAGCAAAATTAACCAGTTAGAAGAGGGTTACAGATAAGTTGACTTTGACAAATTTTGTGAAAAAGCACAATTTGTTTCTGTTATTGAAGAGGATATGAATGATTCAATGAATAGATTCTCGATTGTTAAAATAAAAAACGAACACCGATCGATGGATGACTGAGATGACACTAAGTGACTAAATGGTAATTATTCTCAAGACTAGACTACTGAACTAAGCCACTGAATGATTTCATATCGAAAACAAAATCACTCACCAAAACAGTAAGTCGTTTATGTAATAAAATGACATACTTCTATACAGAATCATAACACAGAAGTAATATAATAAAATATCATAGGAGATTAAAGGATAGCGGTCCATAGATCACTCACTCCTTAATAAATTAAAATCTGACTCTTGAACTTAATTCTTGCTAATGAAATTAGCTTCATAGTCTCATTATTATTAATTTTTCCCTTTGAATTTAGGGTTTAGTAAGTAAAAGAGATCATGTGCTGAATAATTTAAACGAAATCAATAGAAAATCAGTAGATTGTTCCGATTCAATTCATCATTTAACCGACTGTATTTTATATGCAGCTGAATATATTCGAACAATTTTATCTACTAATTCTGATCAATCATTGAATGAAACTTATCAACCAAATAAAGATAATACTGACCAACTGGAGAGTGAAGATACGAAAGAAATTTTGTTTAAATTATACAATAAATTAAATTCAGTTGATTGTATCATAAATAAATATGGTACTATACAATTAGATGATACTGATTATGAAAATGAAATCGATAATCCACTAAGTGAAAAGAGAATAATTGAACATAATGACAATTTATCAGATATTAGTGTACCTAATTATGAATTAGATATTGATGAAACAATGTCAATATCAGAACCAGAAGATACTGATCAAAATATTAATCAAAACAATAGATCAATAACAAGTAGTAAATCAGATAATATGAATAAATTAGAAAATATGGAAAGACTAGATAAAATATGGTCACAAATTAATACTTCTTATCTGAAATCATATGATCCAGCTTCAAATGAATGGAAAGAAATTTTAAGTATGTTCTCTTGATTGTTAAGAATATTATTGTTTCTTTTCTTTTTTTTTCTTCTGAATTTGAATAGTCAATGTAGTTTTTACATGTATGCTTTTATTTACAAACTTGTAAATCTGTATGGAAATTCGTGGAGATTATAGTATTCTAACAGATCACCATTGAAAACTTGTTAGCACTAGCCGGCTGTTTTTGTTTTAGTATGAGACTCCTCAACAGTGCGTATCCACGATGTGTAAATGTCCAAATGTGTACACAAGTTAAAATTTGTTTCACTTATCAATACTACTGTCTTAAGAGATTTCACTGATTCCTGTTCATTATTATTATTTGGTAAAATCTGATAGCTATATAAAATAATTAGGATGACATAATTTCTTTCAAAATTGTAGGTACATTTTACTAATTATTTTTATCAATTATGTAAATGAGATTGATAAATATTTTACAAATAATATCCATTCACTTAATGGAATTTAATACAAAGGACTATTGGGAATTATTCACATGTTTAGCGTTTTTTAGTGAGTTAGTTTTCTACGGGATGGGGTTGCTAACCCAATGCCCAACCCTCCTCCTTTATTCGGGTTTGAGACTGGCAGCAGCCCCGAAGGGGCTCCAGGCGGAGTTGAGTTATTCACCCAGAAGATTAAATATTGAAGTGATAGATATATTGGATTTGAGTTTGATTATGAACATCAATATACGGGATGTATGAAAATCAAACTGAGAAGCCTCAAATGAGACACTATCCTAATATATATTTATATATATATATATATATATATATATATATATATATATATATTGAAGTATATTCAGGACTCAGTAGATAAGTGGGTAACGCGATGGCGTTTGAAGGCGAACGGTACTGGGTTCGAATCCCGGGGCGACCATTAACTCAGATGCAGGTACATCCAGCTGACGAGTCCCGAATAGGACTGCCACTATCCATCTTTGTTTATATTCAAGTTATATACATTTTTGTATTCCATTTAGTTTATTTATAAATTTTTGTTTATAATACAATTTAGATTTGTAACATGGATCCTAAGATGGTATATTTGTATTTATTTGTTTCGCAATCGTCTTTGATTTTTATAAATTCATGGCTAAAAGGCATTTTGTAATGTGATATCTTCATATGTTCGTAAAAATAATCATTTTAGACGTATAAGGTCTGTTTGTTTTTTACTCAAAATACCCAACTATAAAGGGGCCTTCATTTAAAATTAGACTTAAAATATTCATGTATGATTTAGCTTTTTTTAATTTTTATTAGTGTAATATGATACATGATCTCAAAAAAATATAAGTGTAAAGTCACAATTAGAGATTGGTAAAATATCATGAAAACACCTTCCTGATAATTAATTATTTATGAAGATTAAAAAAAACAATGTATTTATTACGGTAGTTCAGTTATTGAATACAAGTTAAAATCAAATTATTGTTGTTCCTAAGGCCATGAGTTTTCTTGTAGCTGATATTTAGTTCAGATTTTTAATCAATCTTTGTTGGCATATACGTGGATTACTTCGATATAGCTACTTTGTTAAAAGGTTTGTAGAAAAGATGGATTTCGTTACATTTGAGACCTATCAGCTGGAAGTGTCAGCGTTAATCTTCACTTTGGGATTTGAACCACTGAGCTACTACGTTCAGGTAGCCACTAAAGTGCTCATCATATTGTACTCATCAAACAAGTTAGTGTCCGTATTGACTCAGTCGTTTATTGGATAACGCGTAGAAAGTTGAAGTGATCGATACCGGATTCTCGTCAAAATGTGAATATCAACACTATCTATCTGACAAATCCGAAGTAGGGTGGAAAGTTTGTTAGAGATTTCATTCCTAGCTGCAAACCATTTGACCTACGGAAACTAAAATAATCACTTCAATCATATTCGTTACTCATTATCATTGAGAAGTCATAGTAAACAAATATCCCTTAGTCTCGTTATAATGATATTATTGTGTTATTTGAACTGGTAGAGACTCAACTTCCGAAAATAATTGTTCGGTTTTGAATGAATGCTATAGGACTAACCATTTCCCCCTGGCATTTCATGTTGAATAATAGTGTGTCTCTTAGATGAAATTAATTCAATTAACATAAGATGACAATTTTTAGCTGCTAATTATTTCGAAACGAACTAATAATACAATCTTATCCGATTCATTCTGGATTTGATCCTGTTTCCAAGTACGGGTATACGTTACTGGAGACCTACAAACTTAGATTTGTAGCATAATAGAATGTTTTTTAGTGAACAAATGATCATGCGTTCTCTTAGATAGTCCGCTTTAGAAGCACAGCTAAAGTGCCTAAATACAGTTTGCATTCGGTGGTGTTATCCAGTACTACAATATCAACTTTTTAATCTTAAACATCCCAGTTTACATAATGATAAAGTCAAGAGAAATTTATACACACTTAGGTTAGATGAAAAAAACTGTTCATTTGATTATTGTTTTATATTACAGATATTTTAACAAAGAATCAAATAAATTGGAGTGAAAACCTAAGGAACAAATCAACTGATTTACATGATGGTTATTTAAAACCAGGCCATTTAAAATTTATTCCAGCTCCATCAATGAAAATCTTAACAAAGAAGGAATATATGAGTTCATTAAGAAGAAGAGAAAGTAGAAGTACAAGTCGTAGTCTTAAATTAACTGATAATATTTCAGATAATATTAATGAAAGGTACCATAATTCAAATAATTTTAATAAATATTATCCGTTATATGATGACATATATATAAAGCGAAACATTTTGTCCATTTTTTGTACGGAAACCTGAGACAGGTGTTTCATCTTTCTTTATTACTGTTGATTCAATGTATTAACATACATAAATAATGGTATCATCGTTGATACCAACCATCCGTCAATATATAAATGAAAGAAACTGAAAAAGGCGACTAAAGAAACCCCGTGATACATTGTTAACATTTTAACCATTTGGTTGAAGTTGATAGGAAGTCATAGACATAAGTTTTGTTGTTGGTGTTGACAATGTTTACCTATCAGGTTAATTTCAATCCATAAGTTTAAGGAATCCACATTTTCCAACAAAAAATAGTCAAATTCACCTGCCACGATTAGATAAATATAAGTGCTTCTATATAATACTGTATTGAACGAGAGCACAAGTGTGGACAGCCAAATGTATTTTAATGCAACATAACAGAATATCATGCTAAAATCTGAAAACCATACAGTAGATACTTTATTTGCAAAATATTCATCAATTGTTTCATATTTTGTTGTTCCATAGTTTACATACCAATAACTCTCTGTTCTAGTTTTCTTATTTTCGACTTTCTCAAACTTCTGCCTCCAGGCATTCCACTTTCGATTGATGATAATTACTACTTAGATCTGCTGACATCAGTAGCACACACCACAATACTAATCATACAAAGTTATATCATGCAATCAGTCAAAGTTATTTATAATGGAAATTCTAGGAAAATCCAATTATATAAGTCATGTGCCTTCATTAGTTTGTCCACAGTCAACAGGGTTATTTCTTTAATGAATTAATCAGATAACGGGACTAAGAGAAAACATTAAAAATTCCAATGATTATTTTTTATCTAAAATACTGACTGGCTCAACCAAGTTGGAAGTAGGGATAGGTAACTCACTAACAATATTAAAACATCGTCATCAATATTATCGTATTGATCTCGGAAATTCACATTTAAGAATTCAATGCTCGCAACCGCTGAGCAGTTTTCAGTTAACGAGAAATAGTTTTTTTCTCAAACTATTTAGTTAATCCTTTAATTAATTTTATTTGGTAACCTACAGATAAAATCAAACCTGAAGGTTAAAATAGAAATTCATTCTGTTTTGTATGAGAAGTTTTAACTAGTTTATCTTTCAAATTTGAAATCCAACAATTGCATGATCATGAGTGTTGTTAGAGGTATGAGGATACTTATCACTTCCCGGTTGCCCACACCGTGGAAGGGTTCTTCTGAAGGTTCTTGAAAAAAATTGGGTTAGAATTGGTCTTAGTGATCTGGAAGCGTGACCTCAGTACCCGAAAGTCAACCGTCTGAGGCCGGTCACACACGAAATTTCAGTGGGTAATTTTTGTGTCAGCCCCCTACTTGTTGAGACTTTACATCCAGAGACGGATATCGGTGGGATAAGGCGAGTTGAGCATTCTTAGCGTCGACCTTTTCTAACTCCACCTATTCTTGTGAAAAGGCGATATCGGTGTTATGCTGGTTGTCTGAAAAAAACACCTTACTGCTGTCACACCTCTGTATAGTCAGTCGTACGACCTCACCTTCGGGCTCTGGGTTTGTTGCTTTTAGTCTTACCGTTCTTCAACCGACCTGTCTGGCATGGTAGAACCTTGAGAAACGATTGTTCTAGCCAGCATAACTCGATTGTTTCATCACGATAGGAAAGCCCGACCATCACATCAAGGTAGCAGCAACGTACGGAAATTGTATGAATATATTCTTGGTGTAATCTGACAGGTTGTCAACCATTTTAGATCTTTAAAACACTTTAAACAGGTAGATAATAGGTTATTCACTATTTCCTAGTTTTAAGAATTCTCCAAATAATTTTAATGTGTCGATCACTTACCCACCTCTTTTGTCAGCTTAATAGTCTATGCTTTGATTTAATTTAATATTTTTCTCAATCTATCAATATTTGCAGATCCAAATCAGTCGGAGTTCAAACTCGCAGTAACTCATGTGTTAGCCAGTTAAAAAGCAAACAGTTACGTTTTGAACAATAAAAATATTATAGAATGACCATATTTTTAGTTTTCGATCGACAGAAAATGAAGATATCATATGAAATTTAATAATTATAACCATGAGATTGATTACTATCATAATATTCAATATTCCTTCAGTTTTTTAATGAGTTTACTGATTTAAGTAGTATGTAATTTAAAAAATTATATTTCAGTATGATAAATAAATTTTGGAAACTTACATTTGTTTGTTGTTATCTGACAAGACAATGTCTTTGTCTAAAAATTTTTCTAAGAAGTTAAATAACTTAGTGTACCAAAAAATCCATAGAAACGATTAGATTTGATAAATAGCTAACTTGAGAAGCTCAGATCAAATAGTGGTACTTTTTTCACTGCCGTACTACTTTCTATTAATAGATAAACAAAAACTGGACAGTTATATAACCTACAAAATTATAGACCACATATACATCTGTTTTGTTTTATAGTTTTTTATTTTGTCATGTTGAAAATAGAAATTACAGTGGTGTATTTGAAGCACAATACGTCAAGAGCCTTTGTAGGGTTATTTCCAGTTCCAAGCTTGGATAAAGGAGTAGGGTTAGGCATGAGTTTAGCGACCAAGTTAAAATCGCTGACCAGAAAAGACTATTTAAGCCATTTAAATTCTGCCCTGTATGTTAAAGGGTCTTCATTTAGAACAGTTATAGTGTAAGTCAAGAATCTCCGGCAATCAAGAGACGGATGTCTCCTTCGACAACCAAAGCAACAATTAATTTAGGTTCATGAAATGTTCAGACAATTTGGAAGACCATAAGGACCATTCAAGTAGTTGTGGAATTGAGAAGATGCAACCTTGTGGTGTTTGGAATAAATGAAATATATTGCACGTAAGCTAGGCACAAAGGACTAACCTTAGAAGAGGTTCTGTTGTATTTGGATCACAATTAAGGAAATAACATATTCACTTTAATTATGATAGCTAGCTAATTGATATTTCAGTTTATTTACTTAATAACAGCCTGAGTAAAACGTTTATCTGTACATAACTGAAATGGAGGTTCTGTAACAGAAAAAGTGATCATATGAAAAATTCCTCAACAAAAATCGGAACTAATTAAATAAGTAAATTTTATCATAGAGTTTCTTTGAATATAAATAAAGATCAATCTAGTTAGTTTTGCATATCTCATTCACATTTCAACTACTGTTGAATGAAATCTATTGGTGATAATTATTTTACCTCTATAAAATGTTGTCAAGCATTTCAATCATTATTAAAAACTATCTTTCAAATGACGTATTTATTTTCAATACCATAATTTCATTAAACTTAGATTTTACTCCTAATAATTAATAATTTAGTTTATTTCTATTATCATCTTAATGTAATTCTCATCAATATTTTATTTAGTATAAGAGTGTTTTCGCTGAGAAGAATAAAAGTTTTATTGAATCGATTTACTTGTTCTACAACTTAATGAGAAGTTTCAATAATTTATATTATTTTTCTGAGTATTTCAAGTACAATATTAAAGGTGTTTATTGTATATTTCATAAGTACAATTTCACCATTTTTCTCCTATGTTTAGTTCTCATTGTATATATTAACAATACATGATCAAAGAAAAAAATTTTTGTTGAGCTATGATTAGCTAGCAAGTTATAAATTTCTGGTGAAATCATTCGATGGATCAATCTATATACTTCAAATCATAATACTAGGTAATATGACAGCGAGATCATAATTTATAGACGAATCAATCACGTAGAAGATACCAGATTTAGAATTTTGGCGCAAAATTCATTTATCAATTTGACCAAATAGAGTTTTGGAATTATAACTGATGTCAGTTCGTGATGAAAACCCCTTAATATAATTCCTAACCTTAACCATCAATTGTAAATCACAATTCGAATTCCTTATACAGGTTTATAACCCTCATTTAGTCCTAGTTATTAGATGGGCACTCTCAAGGTCAGTCTAGCATCGCTCAATGGTCGTCCATAAATTATAGTCTCACCAATAAGATATCTATTTATATGTGTCTCATTATTCTGTTTTTCGTCATACAAAAATGGAAAAATCATTGCGAAACATAATCGTTCTACTTTCAATTCATTGAGAGTTACTGTGTTTCACGGAGTGGTCAGTCGAAACTCGTCAACAATTTATGAATCTACTGAAAAAAGATCATACAAGTTTGGTGCAAACTTATAATGGGTATCTCATTTATTGGATCACACTGTATCAGTTGTTAAAGATCTTAAATAACATCGTTAAATATTAGTCTTACTCATGAAATATCAGTCAGTGTTCAATGTGGTCTTGTTTCATTCATCCTTATTATTTCTAATGGCATTTGAATAGAGCTTATTTGCTTTAGAATTTTTTGTACCAATATTTGTGTTTAAATAAATCAAATTCATTTACTGTTGAATTGTTTTTCAATACAAATCATTCTTTTATGCTTCATGTAAACTCATGAAGTGAAATGACAGACTATTAATATTGTATTTGATGTTAAATGCTGTCATTAATAGTTATGGTTAAGCATTTAGGTAGTCTCATAGTTTATTTTAATTAACAGATAATAGTAGTAACACAGATTCACTTCTAACTATGTGAACATTGTTTAGCGTTACTTTGTTATAAATGTTAATCAGGGTAACAGTGATATATTTTGTTAGCATTAATCATAGTTCAATCGTTACTGCAATTTTAAAAAAGACTAAACACCTGTACTAATGAATACATTAATTGACTTCATGGTATTAGTATGTAGTTTTCCTGAATCTGAAGTTTTCTAAGCAGTTTGAAATAGCTTGTGTGTAGTATACGGTGGCTTGTTTGATTATCTTGGCTACCTGTTTCTTCCATTTGGATATTTCAACACTTCTTTTTTTATTTCGTTTCACGACATTATTATATCTATGATACGCATATATGAAAAGTTTACAACCTATCACTTTATAAGATACAAAAAAGTACATCCAGAGACATCGTAGTAGCTGGCAATATACATTGAAAAGAATGAACATTATTTAGATATCGATTTCTGAACTGCTAACTTCTAACTACCAATCAATAATTGGCAAGGTGGATTATCTTTAATTCCCACTAAGTCAAAACATATATCGTAATTGTTGTGTAATCACAATTCAAGAATCTTGATTGAATGATTTACAAGACATTGAATAATATCACTATAAGATTTCAATATGAAAAGATGTGTTGGCGATGTAGCTACATTTGTAGACGTGAACTGGTGTCGATCTAATTTTGCAACTGACTTTATCGACTGTATAGCTTTAAGATGCCATCCAAAATACTTGAATAAATACAATCATGTTACCAACATCTACGTGACTCCAGTCTGCACGTCATTTGCACTGTCCGTTTTCGTTGATAAATTCATTGAATATTCTCTTACTGCCCTCACTAACTCACTTTCAATTGTAGGTGGTGATTTTAATTCGGGGATTAGACTTCAGAACTCACTGCTTTCTCAGAAACTCCTATCTTGTAAAATCTCTTCAGGTATGTGGAAACTATTATAAAGAACTTACAGGTGACAGGCACATTAGGAGCGATAATCAGCTGAATATACTTAATTAAGTCTTTTGTACGTCAGTCATCTGATATCATGCTTCCTGTGTCTACAGGTCTGAAGAACAGTTGTGCCCCATTTTCACTGAAGCTGATGTCAGAAAATGTCTCCAGTCACTTAAGTCGTTCTAATGTTTAGGACTTGATGAAATCCCGAAACTCCTTTTTAAGAAGTGTTCTGACATTCTGTGTTATTTATTCACGAGCATCTTTAGCAGATCCTTCTCAACTAATCTCATACCGAAAATGGGGGAAAATGAAGATAACCACAATACCTAAAAAAGTACCTGGCGATATGAATGTGAAATTTAGATCCATAGCAATAACCTCACCTTTTCTCAAAACAATGGAAAAATGACTGCTACTCCCACATCAAACTGCACTAAAAAGCACACTGTTTCGTATCAGTTTGCTTACATATGCGAATGAAGCACCTTAGATGATGTCGTTGTTCTGAATCATAATATTGTGTTCAGATTGAAAAAAGGCAAAACGTATGTTTGATGCGCTATTCTGGACTGTACTTCTGCCTTTGACTTTGTTCCAAGACTTTCACTTAACAAGTTAAATCAGCGTCAACATGAACGTCTGGATATTCAAATAGTTACGTTCCTACCTCTCTATAAGATCAGTACACTGTGTATAGAAGAAAGTGTTCGACGTATCTACTATGTCATGAAGGTGTGCCACAGGGAGCTGTTCACTCCTCTGTTCGTTTCCTTTTTTTCTTCATGATCTGCCATCTTCCACAGAAAACACTTTTATTAAATATGTAGACGATCTCACTGTATGTGTGTCGGTCTCTGTCTCTTCACATCCCCTTGTAATAAGTGAGTTTTTGTCTCATATTGAATAGTGGTCTGTTGTTAATGGTCTCACACCTAACCCGTCTAAATATCAACCTGTTAACTTCGGCCTGGGACATAAAGATAACCTAAACACTGATTGAAGTCCCATAAAATTTGTACTATTGATGATTCTTTTATAAACACAGTGTCATTTACCTTGGTTTACGTTTTTCTTCTGATTTCTCTTGATCTCCGCATGTTTTATTGGTATCGAAGGAAGTTTGCCGTCTAACTTATTATATAAAGAGTCTTCATGATTTTGGAATTACTCGACATTTACTTTTATGATTTATCAATTCTTGCATATTACCTACTACTCTTTACTGTTCTCGATCACTATTTTCAGGCTTTTGAGAAAAGACTTTGCTGTATTCTAGACAGTTTTGAAGGTAGTTAGCAGGGTGTGTGCTGGGTCTTTTGGGGTCTTTATTACTATGGTTGTGGATGGATATCTAAAGTCTCGCAAACTCCTAACGGTGTTATCTTATGAGACAGTAAATATCCATTTCATTCATATTCTTCTCCTTGTATATCTTCTGGTAGAACGAGACGTCAATACATTAGAATCAATGCACGCA